TCTTTCAGAGTTGCCCTGTGGTGCCATAATGGGCTATTCCATTTAGCCTTGTTAATGATTACTCACCTGAGCCTTCGCTGAAAGGTCACAGACAGGATTAATTGTCTCTCCTTAATTGTGGAAGAAAAAAAAACATTTTTACAAATCCTTATGGCTTTTATACAAGGAGCATGCTGACAAGAGAGAAAAATAGTGAAAATGAATATGTTAATGGGCTAAAAGTGCTGTTTCTGTACAAGAAATACAAGTCAAAATTGCCTCGACTTATAGAATTAATTTTTCCTATGCAACTATTCCTAGAAAGTACGAAAGTCAACTCAACTCAGCTGTGCGGTATTTTATAGAGCACTTTAAAACAACCACCCGTGCATACAAAGCGCTGTACATGTAGCAAAAAAATATTCATATAACAACACAGACAGTTGCAAGAATAAATTAAGAACATAAAAACAGTAAAAGCACAAAGAGGTCAAACAAACCCATGCTGAGTCAGAAGCCATGTGTTTTAAAACGAGTTTTAAAGATGGGCAAAAAGGTGGCTTGCCTAATGTTTTGCGGGAGGTCATTCCAAAGAGACTGACCGGCAACGGAAAAGGCTGGATCCCGCTGAGCCTTCGCTTTGTCCTCGGTACCTCCAGTGGCATCTGGTCCATTTCTATCTATCTATCTATCTATCTATCTATCTATCTATCTATCTATTGATTCATCAATCCATTTTGTAATCCACCTATCCTCACAAGGGTCACGGGCGTGCTGGAGCCTATGCCAGCTGTCTTTGGGCAATAGGCGGGGTCACCCTGAACTAATTGCCAGCAAATCGCAGGGCACACATTGACGAAGAACCATCCACACTCACACTCACACCTAGGGACAATTTAGTGTTCCATTAACCTGCCATGCGTGTTTTGGGAATGTGGGAGGAAACCGGAGTACCTGAAGAAAATCCACGCAGGCACGGGGAGAACATGCAAACTCCACACAGGAAGGCCGGAGCCGGAATCGAAGCATTTTTGTAACACTTCTAATGGCTTTGCATCGAATTTTGAGTTTGTTGTTACCATTACTGGATGTTCTGACCCCCGGACCCCCCAAAAAAACAAACAAGAAAAATGTTTGCCTCTACACTTCTGTGTCACAATCTATAGCCTATGAGATGACGACTATTATTTAATCTTTTGGGAGGGGGATGTAAAACACAGTAGCGCTACTATTGAAAACTTAAAAGCAAACTCCATTAAGAGCCAAAAAGGGTCCTGAGTTCATTCCTATTTTTTCAAAGCACCCTCACACACACACAAATAATCTCCTCCATCCAGATGAGACAAACAAAAAGGCAAACTTTCATATAGTTTAAGTTCAATTTCCTCTTTTTTCCCCCCCTCTTCCTTTTAATGACTCACATCCTCAAGCCTCTGGCACATTTGGATGCAGGCCCCCTAAAAGAGAGCTTGAGCCATCAGAAAGGATTTTTCATTACTAAATGTAATAGGGCAAAGAAAATTACAGCTGCTCGAGCATAGAGTTTTTTTTTTTTTTACATAATGCCAATAGAAACTATTCTGTTCCAGGGCAAACTGTTGCCTTCCTAAAACCTTTTTTGTCTATATGCAGACAGTTAAAATGAAAAACTTTCTGAAAGGTCTCGGTAAAGTGAAAACAAATGTATTCTAAATTTAAGACACCACAGAGAAGAATGTTGCTGACAACGCTGCCAAATTTGAATGAAAAAAAAATCTGTGAAAATATAAAATAAGGTATGAAAATCATGAAAAAAATTGCTCTCCTCTCCACTGAATGTGCTGAAACCACGCCTCGCTCAACTGTCAAGTGTCAATCACTTTTCCACGTTGCCACGCCATAACGAGGCACTCTAAAGCAACCTGAGTCCACACACAGGCTGTCAAGTCACACTCCCCCCTTTTTGTGTCTTTTGAATGAAATGGCAAAAAAGTTGAAATGACAAGCTTTTTGGCTAATACAACTCCATATGTTTTAGGCTGTTCTTTATTTATGATTTTTTTGGCTCTCTTTAACCATATTGTCAATAGAAACTATTCTGTTCCAGGGCAAACTGTTGCCTTCCTAAAACCTTTTTTGTCTATATGCAGACAGTTAAAATGAAAAACTTTCTGAAAGGTCTCGGTAAAGTGAAAACAAATGTATTCTAAATTTAAGACACCACAGAGAAGAATGTTGCTGACAACGCTGCCAAATTTGAATGAAAAAAAAATCTGTGAAAATATAAAATAAGGTATGAAAATCATGAAAAAAATTGCTCTCCTCTCCACTGAATGTGCTGAAACCACGCCTCGCTCAACTGTCAAGTGTCAATCACTTTTCCACGTTGCCACGCCATAACGAGGCACTCTAAAGCAACCTGAGTCCACACACAGGCTGTCAAGTCACACTCCCCCCTTTTTGTGTCTTTTGAATGAAATGGCAAAAAAGTTGAAATGACAAGCTTTTTGGCTAATACAACTCCATATGTTTTAGGCTGTTCTTTATTTATGATTTTCTTTGGCTCTCTTTAACCATATTGTAAGCGCCACCTCGACAAAACACAACCATACGTCATGCATACACATCACAGACAACCCCCACTCACTCGTTTCTTTAGCGAACTGATACAATGCTTCCTCGGTTGGCAGTGTCCCCCCACTCAGGCCCCAGCCCTCCATCCTATCCAGACTCATTAGCACGAAACAGACTATCAAGATGCATAGTCGGGTCCCTATTTAGATGCTCAACCTGATTAGCCCCTAATGAAGGATGATGAGCGACATGAATGGAAGTGCACACAGCAGTATAGCACAGTGCACCCCATGTACAGTGTACATATATTGAACACGCACTTCATTAGATATGGATGCGCAATCTAAATGAGAGCCAATGTTTCTATTATTTGGTGGCAAAATATTGGAAACAGCACTCAATCCAAAACCAAAATATATCATAACAATAATAAATTGATCAATGAATACCCCTGACAGTGTCAATCAAACAGAGCACTTTTCAGATTTCTGTACTTGATTTTTAAGTTTACAACTTAATTGTAATATTAAACTTTTGTTGTACAATTTTGACCCCGCCCCCATGTTCAATTCTGTACAAAATTTACAATTTTCTCAATTTGACTCATAAAATGACAGTTTTCACTGAAAATTACAATTTTTTGGAATTAATGTAACAGCATTATGTAGATATTGGTAATCTATTCTAATAAACCAGCAATGTTATTTTCTTTCCCCCCTTATATTTTCATCTGATTCTCATAACATTTCAATATTTATTTTTAAGGTGATTATTTTTTTTCTCAAAATTCGACTTAATTCCTTTTCAAATGAAAAAATAATAACCTAATAATAGGAAGATTTTATCTTTTTGAATTGTACAGTGTTCTCGAAATTGCAGAATTTGTCTCACTATTTTGACTTTTTATAATGCACTTTCCATTTTTATCTGTAAATTGCGCATTGTAAATATACACCATTTATCATTTAAATTTTGCTCCTGCCATATTTTGACGTCATTCTCATGAAAATACCAACTTGCAATATTTAATGTGTGCGGCACATTCTGGGATTTTTCTTTGAGCACAATGGCAAACACAGGGAAGTATTAGTTTTTTAAAGGAGAAGCCTAACGCAAAATAATTTTCTTGACAATTAGTTCTGTGTGTCCTGACTTGTCTTCACATTGCATTCTGATCAAGGCTGTTCGTGTGGAATACGAGTTTTATAGGAGTAACAAAATCTACCCGTTTTTTGTCATCAGGGGGCGGCCATTTTGCCACTTTCTGTCAACTGAAAATAAATCGCAGTCGCTCAGGTAACAACCAATCACAGATCACTTGTTTTCTGAAGCTGAGCCGTGATTGGCTGTTACCAGAGCAACTGTTCTGTTATTTTCAGTCAACAGCAAGAGGCAAAATGGCCGCCCCTGGATTTTACTCTTCAATTTATATTCCACAAACGCAATATTAATCATAATGCTGTGTTTAGACGAGTGCGGCTGCATAGAAGGTTGAGTTTCTCTTTAAAGAAATACACACTTATGACTAAGCTCAATTTTTCATATGCCATTGCTGTTTTCCCCAGATATGGCAGTTGTGCAGACAATGTGAACACAATGTTCGCATCGTGACTATTTTTCAAGCATCGTGACTATTTTTCAATCTTTCTTCATTTTATCTGTGGAGGGCGCATCACCACAAGAATTTTAAAACTACAAATCATCTTATGTTAAATCAGTTATGGTCTTTAAAGTCATTATTTCCTTTCTTACCCTGACAGCACTGGGCAGCTCCTTCAGCCAAAGACTGATACACCCGCGCTGCAAAGGGAGGTACCGCCGCTCGTTCCTGCCGACTGCTTTCATGCTATTGAATAGACAGACCTGACCTGAAAACCTGAACACACCCCCACTCACCCATTCTGAATATGCTAATATTTATATTTTATAATTTATTTTTACTGATATAGTTTCTGTTCTTCAACTTCTCTTTCATAATTTTTTGCTGCTGTAAATTGGGAATTTCTCCATTGTGAGACAAATAAAGGTTTTTTTCTTTTTTTAATGTGCTACTGTATATTGATTGGTTGGGCGGCGAGTTAGATTGATAAATCACAATAATTTTGATTACATTTCAGGTATTGGATGGCTCTCGCTGGATTGCACATGAATACCAAACGAGTGTGTTGTACCTACAACGTTTGTTTATTGTGCCACCCAACAAATTGTATCCAGCTTGTATCCAGCATCCAATTCCATAAAGAACTTGGAGGACCATGGCAGCATAGCAAAGCTTTGTTTGAATTCATTATATGTGGGGCCGCTATCAGTTTGTGGAAAAATAGCAACAAGTTCCTGCGCCATGGCCGATAAGAAGCAAATGAACGTGTGTAGTACAAATGATTAACATGATTTCTGCATCCTTTCATTCTAGCATTTGCTCTCTGTGGTGCATGTCCCAAAAGGTAGCATTTAATCAAGCCTTGAAATGTTTCTCTTATCTTGAGGTCTCACTGGAAGTTTATTAGATAAAAAGTCAAATTTAACAGCAACCACCTTTCAAACAATTGTATACAGTGAATATTAACAAAGCGTCAACAACAGTTTGTGATGCACATAAAAACTAATTAGGATAAAAACACAGAGGAGCTCTGTTATGACGAGAAATAATTAAAAAAAAAATCATGACTTTTTCCTCATTTTTCTTTCCTTATTTGCTCCCCGCGGTGACTTTATTGAGAACCCGTGCTGCCCTTGGATATTCAATTATTTCACCAGCGAGACGTAATGGATGCAAATGAATGAATGCAAAGCTGGCAATTCATTACCGCAATTTAAATATAAACTCGAGTCCACTGCAGCACTCTTCTTATTACAGATCAAAAATACGCCTTATCATTCAGCATTTACTGGAAATTTTAATGCATATGGCATAATGAGAGACATTGCATGGGAGAAATCGCTCCGTGAACAAATGAATGAAATGCCCCTCTAATGACAGCATGCTATAGTGGTGGGCAGCAGATGGGATGCATTGCAACATGGGTTCACACATTGTCTCCTCTCCAGATTGGAAGCAGAAGGGCGGCTTGATCGCAATCATTTCCCAAATAGGGAAAAAACTCTGCACCTAAGTCTCATTAAAAGAACTCTGCTCGTTGTAAATGTCCCTGTTCTCTATACCACCCTGCTGCCATTCTCATTTCCTGTCTCGCACCCTCTGCTCCAGCTCACGGCAGACTCCCTCGGTGACAGGCTCGGCCTGGGTCACCACAGCTCCCCTGCCCCCGCTGCCCACCTCCACAGTCATGAGGCAGCACATATCCACCAGCTCCTCCTGACAACGCCTCATGCCGGTATCCAGCTGGGACTTTCGGGCCGGGTCGCGCCTCATCGTACCCTTCTCGGCCACCGTGAAGCCCAGCAGGCCTGTCAGGACCCGGTCGGACAGCTCGACGTCCAGGTAGCCGCTCCCGTCCGACACTGTGGCGCGGATTCGCCAGAGGCCGTCACTGGTACTTAGTTTGCCCAGGAGGGTGACAATGAAGGCTTTGATTGTTATGCAGGTGGGTACGGATATTTCGTCGAGCAGACAAAGGTAAGTAAACGGGGGTGTAGTTAGGGCGATGTCACCCAGTGTGTCCGTTGTTGCTCCTGCAGTGCTTGATGGGTGACTCCCACCATGAAGTACACTCTCTTTCCTAACTATTTTATTCACAGGTAACTGGCTGCACTCTGCAGCGTGTGGTAAAAAGTCCATTTCCTCCACGACGTCACCACCGTCCTGTTCTAGGAGAGGCTCACGTGGAGAAGCCGTGCCTTCCTGAAGGACTGCGGCATCCAAATCGTCCAGCATGAGATCGACAAAATCCTCGTCGGGAAAGTCGTCCACGTTGACATCGTGCTCCACCGGGCCTTGCCGGTAATGCAAGGGCTCAATGAGGTCGGACTCCTCTTGCTCGTTACCACGGCGACCGCTTGGAAATGAACTGCCTCTGCTCACATTGGAGTGCATAGAAGCTTCACTTCTAAGGGACAAGGTCATAAATTAACAACAACAACAAAAAAGCTGGATTTACACTGCATGACTAAGTACCCAGGTACCATTTAATTCATCTTAATGTATCTTCAAGTGCTGAAATCACTTTATTTACATTTGACACAAACCAAATGACCACACTGTCAATGTTGGGCATGCAGCCACAACACAAAAGTAAATATTTGAAGCTGCCAGCAGCAATGAATGGCCACAGGTGACAACACATTTTCCATGGTGAATCTTCAAAAATCTTCTTTTGATGCTGTGCTCCATCCACATTAGGTGGTGAAGGTACTGGATAAAGCTTTGCTATTTTATGTCACACATCTGTCGAGGACGCCTGTTTCTTTTGGATGGATTCCCTGTCGATTAATCAAAGTGCGAGGCCTGGAATTTGCTCCAAAATGGCCGTTTGCTTGCCTCGTTTCAAGCGTGGGGGTTTGAGGCCTTTTTGTGGATCTACCCGTGACAGACATACTGTAACAACCAAACTTCATGTTGCTAGGTAAAACCTGCTTTTGGGGCTGAATTCAAAAAAGAAAAACGTGGGGCCTACCCAAAAAGATTACCATAGCAGATAAGAAGAGGAATCAAAATGTCCACTTGACATAATCTATTATTCCAGGTAGGATCGTTCCAATTTCCCAACAGTCTCCAAAGTAGAACCAAAACCAAACTTCCTTTGTCATGAAGCATCCCTGGTTCTTATCTGATGTGTAAAGCCTTTGTTGAAAACCGGAGAAATAAATAGTGACTTATAAGCTTAAATCTACAATGACATGTCAGTTACAACCGATCTGAGGAGTTTTTGGTGACTAAATGTCAAGACAGAACACTGACAAACCACCCACCTGTTGGATGAGGCACTCAGGCTCCTGATGGTGGAGCTTCTACAGGACAGAGCTGAAAACTGGCTGAGCGTCCTGTAGCCGCTGTCTTGAACCGGATTGACCGGAAGCCTCTCCACGAGCACCGCCTCCTCTTCTTCTTCGTGCCACTGCTCTGCCTCCTGGGCCTCCAGACCTGCCAGCAGCTCCTGGTCATCTAGCTCTAAGTCCTGCCCTCCCTGGTTTGTGGCATCTTAAGCAGTTTTGGGTGCGTAAGTGGCTTTGGAAGCACATAATTAGTGAATAAAAGTTGCCATGGAAGTTCTCTACCTTGGTGTGATGGTGAAACTTCTCCACCGTCTTCCTGTTCCTGCTGCTGTTGCTCTTCAGGTAGTCCCAGGACCCGACATAGAACCCTTCCCTGTCAGTGCAGTGCATGTACTGCATCACTTTTTTTGTTGTTCTTTATGTACCTGCTCTATATGTCTCAGTTTATTCGAATAATCATGATGTGCCGGGCGATGTCGTGTACGCCCCCGTGCTGTAGGTTCACAGGCAGACTAAAACAGCAAACATTTAAAATAACGCAACTGCATTCAGTGTTTGGAGATTCCTTTGAAAAAAATGTATTCCGACACAGTTACAAATTATCTCTTAAAAATGTAGTTAGTCACGTACTCCAAGTACCATAATATTAAAGTAATGTGACTTCTGCATCTTACTCCTTGTGGGTGGCCATCCTTATTGGCCCCATTGCATGTGGACTGTAACAGCGAAAGGTGAAGAATACCATAGATCTATCTGCTGGATCTGGTGGGTCACCACCCCACTTGGCCCCAATGCATGTGGACTCCTAACTTAACATTTTAACGTTAAAACACCATTGCTCAATTTAATCAGTTGCTAAAAGGAAAAACTACCTCTAAGTTTCAAATTTGAGAAAACTAACCTGGTTGTTGCTTTCGGCCAGGTCTTCCACTTCCCCGCCCAGGACCTTCACGTTGCCCGTTCCCAACAGTAGCATCCCAAGCCTGCAGATCATCTGCCCTTGCAGCTGCAGCTTCACACCTGGCCTGGAGGTTGAAAATACTAACCATTATTTGTGTTTCTTTCTTGCCTTATATGACAGTTAGCATGCAAATAAACGTGAAGGTCATTTCACCTAAGAGCAGTGCTCAGTGCAGGTATCGGCTGATACTCCATGGCCTCCAAGCTCTGCACGCCATCTGTCACCTGAGACAAAGATGCACATTATCATAATCAATCAATTTAAAAGGTCACCCAGATTATAAATGGTCCACTAACCTGCAGCAGGAGCATACGTGTGGGTTTGGCCTCCCAGGGCCTCTGAGTGTTCTGTGTGACAGCTGAAATGTTGTCATTGGCGCAGTCCGTGCCCCTCCATTGCTGCAGCTGTGCATATGCAGGCTGACTGATGTCCTGTAACGAGTCAACCTACAACAGAGAGGGAACGCTCCAGCACAGCACACTGTCCTTTTCATGCTGCTTTTATTTTTGCCTGCTGAGTGATACAATACTGCCCTCAAAAATACTTTGTATTGACATCGAAAGCTCGTATCCTAATGAGAACGTTTACAAAGGTAGTGAATGCTGATTTCTCATCAGGGTTCGTTCAAGGTCCCAAATGTTTGCCAACGGTTTTAATGGTTTTCCTTGTTTTTGTTCTTTTTCAGTTCAAAATTTCCATGCGAGAAGAAAAGCGGTCGGTGACCACGAAAACTGCTGGGGAACATTTGGTGAACGTCTTTTTGTCTACATTCAGTAAACATATTTCCCATTAGGAAACCATGGAAAGTAATTAACCTTTCTTAACCGTACCGAAAATATAAGTAACATGGTGGCATGCTAATGGTCATACACTTGTAAAAATTCAAAGCAAGAAACATCTTAGTGGCTCAAAACAAAAACAACAAAAAAATATTATTCATTGACATATTCCTAAAAATACTATATGGCAACAAATGTCAAATTGGGTGAGTTTAGGTGTGTTCTACTGTATTGTAAATTGAAGGTGTGCACTAGTAGCTACATGATGGTGTTTTTTTTTTTTGTTTTTTTTGCAAATGTAAATCTCACGTGCCTTTTGTTTATTAATGTCCGCTCTCCTTGGTCCGCTGAAAAGTTATGTGTACTTCCATAACTAAGTGACTGTGGTAGTTCGTACCTGTACACAGAAGGTACCGCTGAGCTGAGTCTTGTGGGCTTGAGCAAGTCCCTCAGGGAGAACTGGGTAGTCTAAGTCCTTCAGGTCAGTCAAGAGCCACTGGTCAAACGCCTAATAAGGATGTAATCGGCGTCAGCGTATTTCAGGTGGCCCAACAAAGTTAAACGACAAAATAATCTACCTACCTGTTGGTTAATTTGCTGCTGCGACAGCCTGCCCACACCTCCTGCCTCTTCCTGGAGCCACTCGACGCAGGCCTCCAGCCAAGTGAAAGGAACACGGACATGCCAGGAGGACTGCAGCCAGGCTTGGGTCACCTGGACCACAGCCTGAGGAGCCATACTTTGTCTCTCCCTTCACCGGTCGGTCACACTGTTGAAGAATTTATTATCATCTTACTACTTTGGTAATCAGCGTCAGGATAGAAGTAACGTTTATGTGACAAACAAGGCAGGAAATTGCCTAATGTTTAGAATGCATGCCTCACAGTTCTGTCCTTCTTCAAGCTTGAATGTTCTCAAGTACTTGCGTGAGTTTTCTGTGGGTACATTCCAAAATCATGGATGCGAGAGCTCGAGTAACCCAACACTACATTGTCCATTGGTCTGAATGTACATATTTGTGTGTCTCAACGTGTCCTGCGATTGACTGTCGAAACAGTTCACACAAGCTTCAGCCCACTTTCGACCATGAGGACCAAGCGGTACAGAAAAAACAGGGATGCGTGTAACATAAACAAACACTTTCATAAGGCGCCAAAACTTCACGAAAGACACCACATGCGCATACACTGTATATTCGGTATTATTAACGCCGTATAGGCAACAAACATAAAACAACTGTATCAGACGCTTTAAGACGTTGGCCATACCTAAAAGTACAACATACATACCTCGAGACCAGAATACGAAAACTACATAAAGGCCACTAATTTCGTAAATCAAACGACTTCCGGGAGAGGAGGTGTCAAAATGTCCATAATCGTGATTGATCGCCGAAAGAACCAACCAGAGGTTCGTTTGAATGCACTTTTCGCCTCGCGCTGAGCCAATCGGCTCGGGCGTTTCGCCGCTGCGCACTTTCTTTTCCTTAGCGAAGCGAGGGGGAGCGGCAGCGAGGTGTCTCATCCCACGTTTGGGTTCGTATGCTTCTCATTTGTACATTTTAGTGACACATTTCGAGCTCAAAATACCAAGAGAAAGCCCATCGGCCGCTATCAATCGCGCTGTCCTGAAGAGAGTAAGTCCCTGGCGTCACGTTTCTGAAATAATATTACATGTCTCGCGCCACTTCTCTTCAACTGATTTTATAGCAAGATGGCGAAATTAGCTTCTGGGAGCTAACGGCTAGCCCGGTAACCGTTGACGTGTGTCCCTTAGTACCCACTTTTTGTCGAAGCGGACGCCCCGCGAATTACCGAACAGTCGCGTTACATGCCCACGGTGCAAATTATATCCTGGTCAATCCGGCGCGACCGGTATTAAACCTAATTTGAGAACGGCGTTCTTGACAAAGCGAGTAGCTAATGTATGCTCATTTGAGCTAGCCACCTTGCTAGCGTATCCTGGTTGTTGCTCTCACGGACCCAAGTCAACCAAATCTTGCTGACATACTGAGCCACCCTATTTTGTTCCGCTTTGATTCAGTACCCCCAAATCGATTAACCATTTATTGATACCTAACTGGTTATTTGTTTTCTTCGCCGTTCATTTATTATATACGTGCCATTTGTCAAATCGGCGTGTTTTGTCATTGGCTGATGTACGTAACCCATCATTGTGTATTATTTGATCACATAGTCTGCCTCGGAAATGCATTTGATCATCAAATCAAATTTTGCCACATCCGTTCCAGCCATTTCAAATTTTTTGTTGTTTTTAATAAAGAAAACAAGCACACAAATATGTAAAAACATAATGAGGCGGATTAAAATGTAATATATAGTGTACTCAAGCTCCAAGTTTCACACACAATAAATGATTGGACTGAACTCTTTTGGAAAATGATTTAGCCCAAATGGGATTTTTGTTTTCCTCAATTTTACAATTTCAAGTTAATATGCGATATAAAGTTTCAAGGTCCTCTTGGGCATTTTTAAACCAACCTAAACAATATTTTAATCTATAATACAATGAACAAAGATCAGATTCATCTTACATGAATATTTTTCCTTCTCGGTTGGTTTTATGCCAAAATAAAGGCGAATTAATGTGAAACACAGTTTATCTACTTCAATGAAAATTGTTAACTTCCAAAACACTTTGACTTCCGGTCTTTTTATGTGTTCAGTGTGACAACTGTACAACATTCTACCCAACAAATGTGGCATAGACATCAATCAGTAAGAAAAATGCAAACGTCCGTGGCTTTATCTCTTCAACTTCTTAATTTAGTTCGACAATGATATGTAAACATGGATTGGACTACGCCTCGTAAGCAAAAAATCTCAGCCGACTGAAATGAAGCATTCTAAAAAATTGTAGCCTATGCGATTTGAACATTTTTCTGTCAAATTGCAATGTCAATTTGAATGTGACTAATTATTCAGCCACAATTAAAACTAATTTGTATACATGTTTTCATTTCAATAATCAAATTACAAGAATAATGCAAACATCTATGGCTTTACTCCTCAACTTTTTTATTTCATTAAATGATGTAAACATGGACTGCACCTCGTAAGCGTATGTATTGTGCGTGCACGCGTGTTTAAGCCGACAGAAATGAATCAGCCCCCCCCCCCCCCACACACACACACACACACATTGTAGCCTATGCGATTTGAACATTTTTTTTTCTACCAAATTGCGACGTCAAATTGAATGTGACTAAATGTTCAGCAGCAACTAAAAATCAATAGTTAATGATGAGAGCACATTGCTGACTCTGGCTCATGCTGGGACATCACACTACTTCAGTTTTTGTGCCGGTTCCTCTTTTGGATCTTAGTGGCCAAATCCTGATTTCCACGCAAGCACATTAAATTAAATGGTTACTTCTCCCCCCACCATCACTCTCTCACATTATGTTTCACAGGTAACCACAACAAGCGGATCCCATTTTTTTCCTCCACCTTCAGAGGGGATCATGGACATAAAAGACGACCAGCAAGACGATTCCTCATTCAGCACAGAGACAAACGGTAATAACTGTGCGTGTGATGATACCGCCACACACACACACACACACACACACACACACACACACACACACTAAACCCCAAATATTTTACAAAAACCACTAATGAACCTCCAATGCACATTGTCCATGAAAAACACAGCCCCCCCCCCCCACACACACACACAAATACACAAAGAAAAACAGAATTGGAAAAATAATCTGAATGGTGCTGTGCTGCAAGTATTGATGAAAAGAGGCATCGCACAAAGGACAATCTAATGTCCAAAGTTTTTTTTTTTTTTTTGCCATTTGAGGTTTATTTTGGCCAAACTTCAAAATTGGCAAGCTGTAAGACAATTGGTGTCTGAGGTTCCACTGTTTTCTCTTTTATGTGGCATGAATGTTAGCCGGCTTCACGCTGTCTGTTTATCTCCTTTGCGGCAGGTAAGCGTCCTGCCGAGGATGCAGATCAGCAGAAATCGTTTAAGCGCTCCAGGAGCTCGGACGAGATGATTGAGCTCCGCATCCTCCTGCAGAGCAAAGTAAACGAGCCATCCTTTTTATTTTTTATGTTCTCAGCAATAGACGTGCTGATATATACCATCTTATTGTTGTATTTTTTTTTTTTTTTTTGTCCGTCTTCCTCTCTGTTCCACTATCTGTCTGATTTGTCCATTTCTCTTCATTTTTGTTTGACTGACAGAATGCAGGAGCTGTAATCGGGAAGGGTGGCAAAAACATCAAAGCACTGCGTTCAGACGTGAGTACATGTTGAAGTTTTGTTCCTTTTTGTATTTCCCCTCTTTCCACAGCCTCTGAAACCCTGTATTGGGCAGCAGTTTTTCTTTGATAGCAATGTCCCTGGGTAACTCTGAACTTAAGATGACCATGTTAACGTAGTTTAAACTGGACCAGTCCTACTGTTAAGTTGTTTCTACCTCTGAATGATAAAGTCAAAGAAGAGCACAGTGTGGCATTCAGGTAACCTGGCCAAGTCTTTTTTTATTTCACTCAGTCATTGCCTCCAGTTTGCCCACCCCTCCCCCTCCCATCTCCTGCTGTCTTCTGGTCTGTTCCCAAACGTTGAACTCTTCATGTTCTTAATATGCCATGATCTCTCTTTTCCAATGTCACCTTCTCTCCTCCTCTTTGCCAAGCCAATCTAAGAGAATTCAACACATGATCAGTGTAGAGCCTGTATATTAAAACTGTTCCCCCTCTCCCCTCTCCCTTGTTTATTATTTTGCTGTTGACTTTTTTGCCCACTTCCTCCTCTGTTGCCCATGTTCTGGACGGCCCCTCCTGCGCCCGCCCGCCCACCTGACCCCGGTTGGCCCTGCCCATAATCGCGCCCCGTTCCCTAAACGGGCGCCTTACTCGAATGACATCCGCGCTCGAATGGCCCCGGCCCCTCTGCCCATGCCACCACGCCCAGTACAATGCCAGTGTGTCAGTCCCAGACAGCAGTGGGCCCGAGCGGTATGTCCCTAAGCTCCTCCCTCTCACTGCCTGACTACAGGTCAAACAGACAAGAAGATCCTGCCTCTTTATCAGCTCAACAGTATTTGATAACCTACTTGTGTTCACTGTATGTTAGCCATGGTTAAAAAAAAAAAAAAAAGCCTTAATGTCCAAAGTTGTTTTTCCGTTTTTTTTTTTTTTGTTGTTTTTTTGTTTTTGTTTTGTTTTTATTTTTAAGTCACATCAATTGTTTATCAGATTTTTCAGTCCGCCACTGGTCTTTTTCCTCAATCTTGTTAAAATCTGCTTTTTGTTGTGCCAGCTCAGATGCTTTTGTTGTTTTTCATTAATGATTATATTTTCCTATCTTCCGCCCTCTTAAAGTCAGTGTTATGGGTGCTTTATTTGTGTGTTAGTCCCATAAATCTTCCGCTGTGTCCTGTGCCAACCCATTCTTCCTTGTTCCATTATATAACGAGCCTTAGCCGACCACCCCATTCCCTGGTACAGTTCAAACACCATGTTTGTGTCCTTGGTCACCTGCTTTTTGCTTCATTTCGGTGTAACCACTAATTGCTGCAATTTTTTGAACGTGCAGGATGCCACTGTCCCAATCCTGCTCGAATATGCATCATTCGGTTATATAGTATGGCTTCTCCCACTATCACCTTATTGGCACCGGCGCCAGTAGTGCAAATCTTAATTTTACCTCTAGTACTCACCTTCTTCTGTTGACTTTCTTATTTTCTCGCTGACTGGGTGCAGACATCACTAGTCAAACTTGCTGTTCAAGACAATGAGTTCATGTTTGAATGGTCTTTAATAGCATGTTTGATGTATGTAGTCTAAATCATAGTACTGACGTGAGCACCCACACCAGATTTGTGCTTGTGAATTCTCTTTAGTGCGCATTGGTGCAACTTTTTTTTTAACCCCCCACCAGACAGATTGTCCCCAGATTTCACTCTCCCGTCTTGCCCCTCCAGTGGTCACTGATTGCTGTCACTTTCTTTTGGTTTCCCTTTTTCGTCTCTTAATTTTTTTATTTTATTTTTTTATCTGATCTGGACAAAAGACCTAGAAAAGTCTCTTTGTAATCACCTTGAGTTTTGTAGCTTTTTGACAGCTACAGTGTGGCATAATTACTGCTCTACCTTCACAAGTTAACAGAATAATGGACCTAACGTTTGAATAATTTTGGTTAGGTTGAACAAATGTACTTTTGACTGGTTTTCTTATTGAATTCTTTAATCTAATATGCGACCCCCTCCTCCTTTCCTTCTGGGATGCCTCATGGGCTCCCTGCATCGCCACTGCTTTGTCATTGGCATGTGCATTGTAAAGCATCCTGTGCATCTGCGCTGACATAGAGACCATTGGTGAGATCATGCTCAAGATCATCCCTACACTGGAGGAGGTAAAGGACTCGATCTGTTTGCCTCGACATGTTTGGAGACTTGCACTCTTAACCAAGCGGATGAGCTATATTAACATTTAACACGTGCTCCGCAGTACCAGCAGTACAATGGCATGGATTTTGAGTGTGATCTGCGTCTACTGATCCACCAGAGCCTGGCTGGCTCCATCATTGGAGTGAAGGGCGCCAAGATTAAGGAGCTCCGAGAGGTATATATAGATATATAGATATTTATATATTTTTTCCCAACTTGCATAATGAAACGTTTCTTACTCAAAAAAAAAAAAAAAAAACTTAACATTTGTTTTTGAGTTGTCCCGATTTTGTCGACATGGTTGGAAATCGGGGTCAATCACATGGTTTTCGGCACATCAGTATTGGCTGGAAAGAGATTGGTTATACATTTTTTTTCCATTTCTGAAGTCAAGACTAAAATATTTTAGTTCTTTACTTGATTTGAACTGCTGCTGACATAAAAAGGTATCATCTTGTGATGCCTTAATTCAAAATAAGCAAGGTGATTGAGACAATTTAGATGTGGTCTTTTTCGTCTTCATTGCATTGAAATATTGATCGGGACTCGGGTACAGGCAGATTCTCAAACTCAAGTGACTCGAGCTCAGGTGCAAACAAACAGATTACAAAATGTTGGGGGAGAAAATCTGCCAATATTAAAACCCCCACGATATTCATGTGTCAATTACGCCACATTTCTTCAGCTTATGGCCCCAACTCTTAACAGGCGCAATGCCTCAGTCAACGGGTGAGCACATCCACGTGTACAAATACCTTTCACCATATAGACGCCATCTTTTTTCCTGTATAGTGAAACTATAACAACACAGATCCTACCATAGACGTGATTATCATAATGCACATTGCCTGCAAAGCAAATGTGGAATCTCTAAAGCTGAGGTAAAAGACTCAGTTTAAAGTGTCACATTTATTTACTTTTATTTATTTATTGACTTACTTATTCAATATTACCACAGGAGATCCTTTAATTTACCTTACAAGTGTCTTAAAATGGCATACACACTCAAACGAGATTGCAAACAACCTTGACCCGAATAGATGCCTGATGCTCTGCAGTTGTGTAAATGGGCACCCCTGGGCACTACACTATATGGGTAAATACTGTAATTGTATGATCACACCATTCCTTTTCTGGCTCAGGATTTAATCATTTTTTTCCTCTAAAAATCAGATGCTTTGTTGTAAACATGTCTTCTTGTGTTCGTTTTCCCCTAGAATACAAAGACCAGTATCAAGCTCTATCAGGATTGTTGTCCTCAGTCGACAGACCGTGTTGTGCTGGTCGGCGGTAAAATGGAGCGCGTGGTTGAATGTATCAAGACCATGCTGGAGGTCATCGCTGTTGTAAGTGAGAGAGAAAGACATGTGTTTGACAGACTTTTCTACATACATGTCTGATGACTTAAGTTCATAACATGAGTTTTATAGCGACATTTGTCATCCTTATTGAATATAATTTTTAGATGGCCCGCACGAGATGGTGTATATGTCATACCATCTATTGACTTTGTTTGCGTTATATAGTCCATCCATCCATCCAGGGGAGGGGGGGGGGTTGTTTTTTGGGGGGGTGGGTTGCATGCATCGACCAACATCTCTTCAGAACGGAATCAGACCCCTTTCAGATGTGGCAACAAATCTGAGGTCTGTTGAACTGTCAACTCCAGAAATGTGAGCTTCATGTCAAAAGACACTGATGTATACACACACTCAACTGATCAAACACAAGAAATGCATTAAAGAAAAGTTACTGCTAAATACCAGCAAAAGGAGAGATCATTAAATAGGATTTAAATATGCTACACCCACACCGTGCCGGTGTGGGATTTCTCCGAGTACTCCGGTTTCCTCCCACATTCCAAAAACATGCATGGCAGGTAAATGGAACATTCTAATTTGTCCCTAGGTGTGAGTGTGAGCGCGGATGGTTGCGTTAATCCAACTTTAAATGACTGGCGTTCACGAGCCTCAATTCCTTTCTTTTTGCAGGCTCCCATCAAGGGCCGCTCACAGCCATACGATCCCAATTTCTATGACGAAACCTATGAATATGGAGGCTTCACGATGGCATACGAGGAGAGGGGCAGCAGCAGCCGCCGGCTAATGAACAGTTTTCCCATACGAGGAAGCCGCCCAAGCGCCGGCGACCGCGGCTACGATCGAATGTCTTCCAGCAGGTCGGCTCGGGGACCGCTGCCCCCCTCTCGCAGGGATTACGATGACATCAGCCCCCGGCGGGGTCCTCCCCCGCACCACCAGAGCAGGAACCGAGGTCACACTATGTCGATGGGTCGCTCACACAGAGGCGGGTAAGAAGTTCATTTCATTCTTCTTCCTTGTTCAGCCTTTAAAATTAAATGAAAGATAAACGCGTGTTGTTTGCATGAGACGTGTGGTTGCTTATATTTGTTTCTATAGTGCACACACTTGCGTTACATTTCCAATTTCGTTGGATAAATGGTGTCCAGTTTTCTGACTGAAATTCAGTGATGTGCAATGCACACAATATATTTATTGTCCATTTCATTTCATGAAGTGTATGTTGTTATGCCTGGCTGTCTCAGTGTTTCTTTTTTTTTTTCTCCCCCCATCTCCATCTTTTCCAGAGATGATCGTTACTATGACTCATACCGTGGCTCAGATGAAAGGTCAAAGTAAGTTTTGTTAATTTTTTCTTGTTTTTCTCACACACACACACACACACACACACACACACACCCTGTGTCACTTCTCCCAAAGTGATGATCCCCTTATGTTTTCTTTATTCCTCTATTTGTCAGTCTCTGTATTTAATTCCTCATCCCAGTTCCCCTTTTCCACGAGTGGTACTTTTCATTGCTGAATGAAGAGTAGTGTGAGCTCCCCTTTGCTCATGACCTCTTTTTTTAATATGTAGTAGTGTAGATGATTGTCAGATGCTAATGCAAAACTGCGCACAATGGGCAAACTTTTTTGCACACTGGTTTAAGATGATGTGGTCCTGCAGCACAAGAGAGCAAAGCTCAGTTGTTGCCGTACTGTCCCCCCCCCCACTTGACTGGTTCATATAATAAAAATAATGCATGTTAATCATTAATATAAAAGCAACTAGTAAACATAGAGAACTGTCATTTTAATGGACATTTGAGATGCTTGATATGGATGCAATTTTGATAACCAGGCATATCATTTACCTTCTTGATAGAATGACCACAAGGCAGCAACTGTGACTGGTATCAGCGGCCTTTGCATGTAATTGGATACCTTGAAATTAGGCCGATATCGGATGGATACTGATAACTGGTATCGGGACTCGCCCATCCTTGCTTTTTCGACACAAGAACCCCTAATGTAAAGCGATAAAACAACACACAAACCTCTCGCAAGCCAGCTGGTTAGCGCCAGAAGCTAACATAGCAGTCTACACCATCACAAAAGCACGGTGCTTGACTTTGTTCAAAAAAGGCTGCTCATTTCTGACAGCCGTGTCAAGTAATTGGTGAGTAGAAACCAGTAATCATGTCAAATATGACTGACGGCAAGCACTTCTGCTCGCTGTACAAGTATACTTGGACACCACCGGTGGGTTTTCGGTTTTAAATGAGTCCGTTTATATCATACCAATGCATCTTGTCGATACAACAAATGATTCTAAACATAACGACTGAACATACGGAAAATCAAGTGAAGAAAATGAGATTCCAAACAAATGTCCTCAGCAGTAGTGACAAGGCTAGCAAATAAATGCACATTACGACGGGTGGGAGCAGCAAGCAGCAGCCCTTGGCTCTGATCTTCATCACCACCACCTGTCACTCCTCTCACCATAACACTGTCAGAGCTGTTCCTGTGACTGTGTGGGAAGATGGCTGGGAGAAAATGTGTTTATACTGTAATCTTGCTCAGCGTGTGTGTGCAGGTTGACCTGGACCGCAATTTCTTTTCCTCTCCTCCCCCCTTGGAACGTTTTCAAGCATTTTTTTTTCAAAGCATTTCTATTTTGTTCCACCCCCACCCACATTCTCACCCCCCCCCCTTTCCCTCTGTTTCTCTTTCATGACCAGTGACAGAAGAGGTAGACCGGATCGCTACAGTGATAACATGGTTAGTGACCCTTGCTTAAATGCATGCAGCTCGCGCGCTGCCGGCATCCTGAGGCTAGTGCATGCTGCTCACAACCGGTTTGTGACAAGCTGTGATTGTGCATTGTGTTGCACTCACGCCCGAGCTTTATTAAAACCCAACTCTCCCGCTTGTATGTACCAGCCATCTCTCCAAAACGACTGTAATCGCCCCAGCTGGAGGCATCCCATAGTAATCAGTTATAATTACCCTCTTACTGTGTACTTTTTCATGGCCGGCTTGTTTTTCTGTGCAAAGAGAGAGAGAGAGTGGCGGTGACCACAGTTGGTTGCTAGGCAATAACGCTTTGTTGACAGACTCTCTCTCTCACCCACCGCCCTCTCTGAGAGCTGGCAGGATACTGCCTGCCGTTGCCCAGCAACAGCGTTTTGAATCGCCTGTTGCCCTGGCGACAGCAGCCGCTGAATAGCAGGTGAAAATGGGGGCTGATTGGAAGGAGGGGGGAAGGAGGAGGAGTCTGGCATATGGATGAAAACTGGCTGACTTTTAGTTGCGTCTGCTCCATTGACGATGCATGGAGATGCCGGTCTTAGCATGCACTCCTCATGCGGGATGCGAACAGAGATGTGGCCCCTTGCTAACCTCTGTCCTTTTCTCTTTGGTTTTCACAGAGTGGGGGAGGATATGGTAAGTCATACACCTTTTTATGGCCGGATTGCAAGCATGTAGTATAAAATGCAGTGATTTTTCGACTATTTGAATTTGTGCGTGTAGATTGATGTTCGTGATGTTGAACGGTCACAGCCCAGAGAAATGACATTTTACACGAAACAAATTATGAACTTCTGTTCAATAGAAAAAAAATAGGAAGTTGCATGTGTGATTTTATTTTACTAACTGTCCAAAATGTCTTTGAGCATTGCTCTTTTCTGTTCTGTGCAGACAACAGCTCTTCTTGGGATAGCTACCAGTCAGGTGAGTCCAAAGCGGACATTTTTTATTCTTATAATTAGCATTATTTTTAATAAATTGTATTTTAATTACTGTGATTTTTACTTGTCACTGTTGTGTTAAAATGGCAACCAAAGCACATAATTGGTTGGGGATATGAAATTGTCTTGCCAGTAATTTACCCTTGGGGGTAGTATCAGAGTCATAAAAGCGTTAACCGCGATTGCGGTGTGAAGTTTAACACTCTCATCCCCCGCCCTGTTATATGTCACACCATGCATGGATGACTGCCGTCCTCTAATTATCTGTTTGTGGGATGCAGTGTCCCAGTGTGAAAGCGCCTGCTGTTAGGGCAACATCCCACTTCCACTGTCTGATGTGTGAAAGACACAGGCTGATACATGCTGCAGCTTCTTTTGAGGCTCCAATTTTTGTGTGTGAAAGAGGCTCATCCTTGCGACCTGTTTGAAGAATACTGTGTTTTCCCCCCTAAAGCGGTATTGTCCTGCAGTGTTTTATAACTGTTCAATTTGTTGCCGTCAGGTGGACGGGGCTCCTACAATGACCCGGTCATCACCACACAAGTGACCATCCCCAAAGACGTGAGTTAATCAAATGATGTGTTCGATGTAGGGTAATACACCTCTTAACACTTGAAATTAAACAGATCCAAATTGAACACTGCATATCATGAAATGCTTAGTATTGTGAGGACTGTGATTACAGAAATGGATATTGCCTGCCATATAAGCCCCGATATCAATATGTACTGTAACCCAAAAACACTTGTCAGATTGTTCCCAAATGTGCCTGGCTTGTATCTAATTGAAGGTTTGGTCCCTGACTAATATGTTTGTGCATCTGCTTCTTTTCCTTTTCCTCCTCCCCACCACCGCCGCAATTTGCAATGGCTCGTGCCAGCTGGCGGGCTCCATCATCGGCAAGGGTGGCCAGCGGATCAAGCAGATCCGGCATGATTCCGGCGCATCCATCAAGATCGACGAGCCTCTAGAGGGCTCAGAGGACCGCATCATTACTATTGTGGGCACCCAGGATCAGATCCAGAATGCCCAGTATCTTCTACAGAACAGGCAAGTTCTACTCTGACCCTCTCACTCTAAACTACTTCGATGTTTGTCTCATTCTCTAGTGCAGGGGTGAGGGAACCTGGGTACAATTCTTCAAAACAACTAGGTTAAGTTTGCCGGAATATGAAATGGAAAATTTAAAACCTAAAATGGACAACATCCTGTCCTGTTTGTCTTTATGCTTTTTTTCTATGTCCATGCTAAATGGGGTTGATGAATTTAATGTTGAGGGGCCTGACCCTTTCCAATAATTCATCCATTTCTCCAGTATATAAAAATGTGAGTATTTGATAGGGATGTCCTGATCACGCAATCAGACATTGGGCCCTATCGACGTCATATTTTCAGCTGATCGGAATTGGTGGAAATGGATCATTTCCTCCCCTCGAAGGGCTACAAAATAATCTAGAGGTACACAGATATTGCCAAAAAAAAAAAAACCCTCATACATATATACACACACACATTTATTAGTAGTATTAAATACTACGCGACATTGTAACTCGGCCAGTGGGAGAACGTCCTCGTCGTGTTTGCTGGAAGCTAACGTTAATCTAGCGTCATTTAACAATGATCATGTCTCCAGTATGGAAATATTTTAATGTGGAAAGCCAAGACAGTGCAACGGCAATTTGCAATACGAGCCGCATTTGACAAAACTAATTTAATATGCCACCTGAAAAACTGCTTTGCACCACCCAAAAAGGGGAGAGGGTGTGAATTGAAATTTCCATTTTGTTAAAACCATGCGCCACAAGCCATATCAGAGGTGTCATCTTGGGATAGTTTTGTTTAAAAAAACATCAAAAAGAAGCTACTTTGGATGTGCTATTTTTCCCCCCCTCTCCTTCATACATAGCCGAGGTATTTGATCAGAACTCTATTGACAGATCCTCAAAATCAAGCGACTTGGACTCAGGTCTAAAAAATATGGTAGACATGCGTAGTGTTTGAGTATGTTGTAGGTGCAGAGAGAATATAAAGAGAACACAATTTCAATTAAATTACAAGGAATTGTTTGAAAAAAAGGCCCTGAACATGTAAACCACAAAAGTTAATAGTTTACAATACATCTGTTTGGCTACGTCCTGTGGTTTCATAAATTTATGGCCATCGATGGACACGCAGAATAAAAAGGTTCCCTGCTCCTGCTCTAGTGCCTGTCCAGTGTATTCAAAAGACACCCCCCCCCCCCCCCCCCCCCCCCCCCCGTGTTAGCGTGTCTCTTTTTAGCAGACACACACAATATGTAATTCAGGCAATTTCTCAAATGCTATGTTTAGAAATGGTTGTGAAATGCATTCGTGCTGTATCTCTAGTGTCTCTTGCCTGCTGTCTTTCCACTAACACCCTTCCTTTCTTCCCCATGCAATCTGCAAGTAGTTCAAACCTTCCTCTTACACTAAACGGCTAAGGAGAGGCAAGCAATTTTTGGGGGGTTTACAATTGGACTCCTCAAGGTTCCTTGAATTGGAAAGAGAAAAAAAGAAATGTATCATAAACTCAATCCCGCAATCCCCGCCACCCCCTTCGAAGCCGTTGCAGTGTGAAGCAGGGAGTGGAGTGATTCTTCCCCTGGCTGCTGCTGTGTGGAAGACTAGTGATTTTGTTGTTTTTAGTTAGATCAAGTGACAACAAATCACAGTCTGCCAAATAGCAGAGGGCTCCTCCTCTTCTGTCTCCCTTGGCAACCAGTAGGCACGTATACAACACACCACTTCCTTCTTTTTGTCGACGTTAATACAGCTGTACAACCTGCTGCTTGCTGCTACTATCTAATTAGCAGTGGTGTTGCCATGGTAACTAACCCTGCCTCCCTCTTTCCTCCCTCTCCACCCCCTTCAGTGTGCTGCACCTGCTTGGACTCAAGGACTAACCCCCCCACCCCCATGTTTCACTTTTCCCCCCCTCCCCTTTTTTATTTTTGTGCATTTGCTTATTTGGTTTGGTTTGTTTTTGCCCACCGAATTGTTCTTTTACCCCCCTCCCCCACCACCACCCTCATCGTCCAACCCCCTGCTGTAGCCTATGATGAAGACTTTTTTTTTCTTTTTGTAATGACTTGTTAATTGAAGTTCTTGTGCATTTTACTCTTTATTTCAGTGTGAAGCAGTTCTCTGGTCAATTGCTGTAGACATCCCCCAGGATTGACTCGAGCAGATTGCCCCTCCCCAACCCCTTTTCCCCCTCCCTCATACACACCCCCGTCAGACTATTATTCTGGATTGTGGGTACTTTTTGGGGGGGGGTAATTTCATTTTTATATTTTTAATGTGATGTTCAACATTCCTGTGCATCAAAGATGTTCTGCATTCTTTAAAAATGTAGGGTTTTTTTTGTTTTTTTTTAGTTTACCTGCTTACTGTTTGAAGTACACTTCGTAAAATAAAAATCTAATTTCTCCCAGCAGATTTAAATAACCTTATTTGTGATGCTTGTTTTTGTGTGTATAGTGCTGACTCACGCGTCCCATTACTGCTCCCCTGTTCTTTTTAACAGTTTTTGGGGTATGCTGTGACGCGTAACAGTACACGCTGGCTATTCTATCAAAATAATTAATGTTTTTGTGTGCGTTAAATTCAGTAGTTTCCATCCTTTGGGATACCTGCAAGAATTTTTGTTTTGGAATTGATCTGAAAAATAAACAAGACCCATGTCTATGCTCTCGACTACAGTCGTTGTCAATGCTGTAAAACATTTGTCAAGTTGTAAAATGAATAAAGTTGCCACTTTTTACTCAGCTTGTTCCAAGTTTGTTTTTCTTACATATATGGGGTGCATCTGCCCCAGTTGCTGAATTTTAAGGCCCTTTTAGTATTGTTTGTTTTTAAATCAATCTGAATCCGTAGGTCGTCGTCCCCAAATTTTTTCCCCTCACGTTTGCTTCAAATAGTTAAATGCTGCACCCAACTGTCAAAATTGTGTGTGTGGTGGGGGGGTTAAACAGATTGATTTGCTGGGTCTCCTAAAGGTACTGTACATAATTGTTTGGTGCTCAATTAATAAAAGAAAAACAATGGTCACTGAAATCACTTGAAACTGAAAAAAAATTACATAAGTCAAGTACAACTTTATTGTCAAATGCGCAGTATGTGCAACATACAGCACAGATGTAAAAATGTAAATTTACTGAAAATTCCTCAATGTTAATTGACATTTCTTTGAATTTGGGGTTCAGTAGATTCACATTTAAAATTAAACTTAAAACAGGCCTGCTCATAAATAAACGTTTAGTGACACACCCTTTATAATTTATTTTGAGACTAATGCACCTGTGACCCCCAACTCAGTCATGAACCAACTGTTTCAGTTGGAAGGGCACTTTCAGAGAAGGCCCTGTTCGCCCCTCAGCTGTTCTTGGTGGTGTTACTCATTCGCTTTGGGGTAACCCTGTTGCAAGACCAATTAACTGAGACCAAGCTTAACCCCCTTTTTTATTTTTCCTTCCCTGAACTGTCCAATGGGTTGTCTCCCAGAAGATTTGTGACTTGTCAATATGCTTGGTGGCATATTCCAGTCTAGCTTTATTGGGATTGCTGTCCACATCAGTGACCTCCCTTTGACTCAAACAATGAATGGTTCGATTTGACACTGATGTGCCTTTGCCTTTAATTTCTTTGGATGTAGCTATAAGTGTGAATGATCAATGTCTTCAATTTGTCATCCATTTTTCATTGGTTAAATCCCCCGGTTTTAAACTTAACATGTGCAAGTGAAATCAGAGGAACTGTTGAGACACCTTAGTGTTTTCTTTCATCAATGTTTGTCAACAATTTTCTTTATACTGCAATCTTCAGAGGCTCTCTGTGGTACACACCAAGTCCCTGAACGACACAGTGACTACTTGTCATCCTTTAAAGGGCAAGCGTGAAGTAAACCGGTCCAACCATTTTTTGAGGAATAGGGCATACAACATACTCCGCATTCTGAGCATCTGTATGATCCAATATACATCTTGCCAATAACCTCACAACACTTCAACCACCCGAATATCCTCAGATACATTTGAAAGGTCACTTTCCGAATTTATTTCTTGACTGCCTTTGTACACTTTCCATAGTGAGCCCCGCTATTGTTGTCTTGAAGTGACGTGACACATCTGGGTTTGGCGCTGTCAGGAACTCACTTAGGGAATTACTTTGTCAAATTTACAAAATAGAGATTATTTTTCATGCTTTGTTTAATATAAAATATTTTGTTTGGGATTTTCTGAAATTACTTCACGCTTGACCTTTAAATTGACTGATTATGAACTGTTAATTTGTGGACACTAAATTTTAATATGTCCTTAACAGTTTGTTCATTTTCCCAGGGGTACATTCATTTTTGTTTTGTAAAATGATTCTGGTGAACCTTAATTCAAAATCAACGTCAATCATTGGTCAACTTTAAGGACATTCCAAAGGTACGTACAACCCGCTGTCAATTCGTAACAGAAACGACGCTACTTCCGTTTGCGTCTGCTGACTGCTCTGTGATTGGCTAAGAGTCGATTACGCAGTTGTGATTGGCCGGAATCTTTTCAAACAGGAAGTTTAAGTACGAGTCGGTGACAGTCAACAGTCCTAATTGGATTGGTAAGATTTATTTAACAACAAACAAATTAGATATGATGTCATAACAACAAACGTGAATAACTGCCTGCACTGTAGTTTTGAAACCGCAGCAAATGAAGTGTTGCCACGTGATTTATGACTGCTTTGGATTGCCCAAAATTGTTGCTAGATTATTAAGTGACAAATCCTTAGAAAGTGGTAGATAATTACATTAACATGTTAGCATACATCTTCAGGGTCCTTGTGAATAACATGTGTAGGTCACTGTTCATCTTGTTTTACTGTTTCTGACACAAGAAGACAAAAACATGTTTGCATGATCTGTTTCTCACAGCCTCTATGGAGCCTCTCCTGTTCCCTCGAGAGTCAGGCCAGTTTGTAGCAGAGCAGAGTCAGGATGTGTTTGTGGAGGAAGAAGGCGTGAGGAAGGTGGCACAGATGTTCTACGCTCTGCGGGGTAGTAATGAACTGAGCGCCAGTGGTTGGAAGATGGCCAACCCCCTGGCCCCTGCACCCACCTCTGACCAGGGGAGTCAACATCACAGATTACATCTCGTGCTGTTACATAAATGTGACTTTTCAACTCTAAAATTAAAATTGAACAGGTGTAGACCACGACCACGTGCCCTTGGAGGCATGTCCCATGTTTTTCCCCCTTTTTTGTCAAATAAATAAATATTTTCTTTTTGCTGTTTGAGTCAAAATACAAGTAGCCCCCTGTGGCCCAGAATACCAGGTGGGAGAGTCTTTCCTGTTCCAAATGTTATTCTCCATGAACCCCCCCAAAAAAGTAACCTGCTAACAAGTGAACACACAGAACAAACAAAAATAGGGTACACCTTTATTTTTGTTGCTTTCTTTTCAAACAAACAATCTTTTGAATTTATTGTATTTTTTACCCTTTGACTCACTATAAAAACTATTGAACATTTTCCTTTGTATTGATATAGTGCATGTTGATTTCTATTGTGTTTCAAGGCCAAGATTTGATGTTGCACCTGGTGATTTTCACTTTTTGTGTGGGTGCCGAAATGCCATTTGTTGCTGCCTCGGTCTCGTCAGCGCGCACAATGCTGATGGAAACTTGCCTCCTCGGAGTAGTATTACATACTAGTATACTAGCATTTGGCTTATTGTATCGTTCATACCCTGCAGGCCTTCAATTGGGTGTTCGTGGTTGACACTATGAACTTCTCTTTCTGGCCCAATGACGATACCCGCCAGTGTGAGGTGACCTTCCGCGGTACCACGCACACAGGCTACATGACCTTGTGTGCCGCCATCACCAGAGCCATGGAGGAAGGTGAGATAGCGTGTTTATATGACCACCTTTTTTGATACATAAAGAAACACCTCATAATAGGGCTATGCCCTTCAAACAAAAGCTATTTATTTTGTTCTGATTTATGATTTTAATCCATTTGTATTTCCCCCCCCTTTGCTTTTTTAGAAAAAAAAATGACAGTGATGTTGAAAAGAACTTTGAACTACAGAAGCTGCCTAAAAAAAATCTGCACATTATAAATATTTGAACTAATCTATAAAATTATTTCATTACTAAAGCCTACCTCACAATATGCAAACTCTCTTTTAGTCCACATGCTTTGCTTCTATCACGTCCAATTACCGAGAGAGCGCCCTTAACTTGAACTTGGACCGCTTGGGGAATTGCTCGTAATGTCGTCTGCATCATTTGCAATTAGACTCCGGATATTAATAAATGACATCTCATATGGAACACTGCTCCCTGTGAATCCTATAAAGTGATGCTTGAGCTATTTGACAGAAATGACAGCTATTGTTGTTGCTGGAACTTCACACCCGAGTGTCTTGCTTCTCTGGCCTGCTCAGGGGTGCCCATTACCGACCCCAAGTTCTTCTCCCAGATCTCCGTGGAGGAGCTGGCGCACATCCTTCGCTCTGACAACGAAACGCCCATGCCCATGCTTCAGGAGCGCCATCAGGTTAGAAAATTATCATCTTTATGTTAACATTTCAACGTTCTTCAACAGTGTACAGTACACAATGGAAATTCTAAGAAAAACTCATTAAAAAAAATAACGGAACAGAAATCTCTTACAATCAGCGCCCATATCGGAACCTTTATTGACAAGATTTGAATCGACTTGTAATTGAGAAGTTTTATCAAAAAGAACAAGAGTCTCACAGGAAATAATGAGAAGTCTGTTCCAGGGTGAAACCGTTACCATCCTAAGACCTTGACAAAACAGGAAAGTGACATTTTTTTCATTCTTCACTGGAATACAAATATAAAAACGAATGAACCCTTTCAGGGACAGCGGTTACTACAGTGGACAGTTTATCATGTTATCAGGTTACAGGGTGCACGAAAGGGTTAATATTGAGGCGTCAACGATAAAATTGTCTTAGCTTTGTGAATTATAGCAAAGATGTAATGCAAAGCTGAATAGTACACCGACATTTTTTAATTGTAAAAAGAAGTCGATGACTGTAGAGCCCCCGGCCCCTAACCAAAAAAATAAAAATAACAACAACATACCAGTCTACATTCACCTAACTTTCACAACAACTGGCGATGTATTTGTGACTCAGGCGATGTCGCCGAGCCGTAACGACATCATAGGAAATCACTCGCGTACAGATGAGTACATCATCGCATTTCATAGGATTCCTGTAGTGTGTGGGATGACATGGGAGCGATCTAATTAGTACTGGCTTTGATCGATTAGCGACATCGTTGTTTATCATGGCCTTGATGTCACCTTTCGATGTGTTGTTTTTAAAAAAAAAAAAAAGGGTAAGATTTTCCTTGGTGCTAATGCTACTCTGCTATAGATCCTAATTATAGGGATGATGCATAATAGCATTATGTAAGCAGAGCATTGCCTGTTGTTTGTTTGTTTTTTTAAATTAGCTCAATTATAATGATACAGCATCGCCGTTAGGCTGTGAAGTATAACCAACTCCATGCAAAATGTATCTCTTCCACCATTACAGAGGTAAGATATGTTGAAATGAGACTGATGTCTCAATCTGATTAACAGGTTGGCATAACAAGCGCGCCCAAGCTCATTTACATGCCGAGTCTGTCTTTCAAGGTGCTGACTGAAGGCGGTCGTGTGCTGTTGCAACATGGTGGAAGCTTCCAGAGTTTCATCAGCCGGGCCGAGAACGACGCCCGGAAGATGGTGGAGCTCATCGTGGAGAAGATTCCCTCCTATCGAGACGAAGCTGTTTACCAGGTGTGATTTTTTTTTTTTTTGTTTTGTTTTGTTTGTTTTTTTTAAACGTGGGCGAGTGATCATCACGTCTGTATCACAATTCTGAGGGTCTGGGTTCTGGTTTGCATGTTCTACCAGTGCTCGCATTGGTATCCTCCTACTACTCCATCTTTCTCCCATTACATATTTTAAAATAAACAAGCTTTTAAAGATCCACCGGAAATGAATTTATTTATTGCTAAATACAAAGGAACTCAACCAAACTTTGAGAATCATTGAATGACAATATATGCCCTGGTGAGCAGTCCTGGATGTACCTTGTCCCTTTCCGAAAGTCATCCGGGATAGATTCCAGTTCATCCGTGACCCTAATGAGGCCAACACTGTCTTCAATGCAAGGGTGCATGGCGATGATGAACGAGCTGATCGTTGAGCGTGCTCAAGTGAAGAACCTGTAATGTGAGCGCTCCATCTGGTGGCCACATGATGTTGTGTCAATAGCTGTGTACCAAAATGGATCACATTCATTTCCCCCCTTTAAAATTCCAAGCATCATGACAAAGTGAACACCATATTTTCTGGAGTAGATTCATTTATTTACTTTTCTTCATCATTTTCAGCATCATCATCATGAGTGACATCAGAAGAGCGAAAGTGTTCACAAATGGGTTTTGCATTCTCTTTGGCTTTTTTGTGGCTTCTTTTTCTTTGCGATGTGACCACACAAGATGATGTCAAAAAAGAAGGAAAAGTACCAAGTTAACCTAATACACAGGATAGGAGGTATTTGCATGACTTTTTCTGCATTTTGTCATGCTTCAGAGGCATTCTAAAATGATTCAATTCATTGCCCCTCTCCAAAATTCTACACGTGATTAGGGAATGCAAATGATTTTTGTTGAATTTGGAAAAAATATTTTCATTTGATCAAAAATGTGAAGTTCACGGAAGCTTTTCTGGAAAGGCTATCCTGCATAAACAATCCGCATCATGCAAGACGGTAGCAGATTGAGACTTTTATTTATGTCGTGTTTCTTATTTGGGTTGTTTGTGTTTTGTGTGTGTGTGTGTCTCTGGAAAGTTACCAAAGGTGGTTAAGACAGTATGTCAAACGTTTCCATGTTGTCCCCCTCACTTATTCAACATTTTGTTCAAGCCTTACTCCAAAGTGGATTAAATGAATCTTTACCCTGAAAATTCCACGTCATGACAAAGTGAAAATACAGCTGTTGTTTAAGCAGAATCTTTGACAAAAATTCTCTTTGACTAAGGTCAGACAAAAGGCGGACTTGAAAACATCATTACAATGCGCGAGGTCAGCAAATCTGCAAGACTTCAAGGATGAAATCCACACGTTTTGCTTTGTTGTTGGGTTTTTTTTTTTTTTTTTTATGATCCCATCACAAAAAAGAAAAATGGTGATGGCAAAGAGCAAAAGTGACAATGAACAAAGTATAGCAGAGCAGAAGTTCTCATATTGTAGCTTCACTTTTTATTCTTATCTGGTACATTACAGCCATATTCCACAGTTGACTCAGCTGTTCTCAACAAAGTAAAATTAAAAAAAAAAAAACGACCACCATAAGAACAACAATAAGAAAACGTTTATTCATCTCACAATGGAGAAATTCCCAATTTACAGCAGCAAAGTTATGAAAGGAAGAAAGTAGAAGAACAAAAAGTATAGGAGCTGCTGTAAAGGCAGCCACTCTCGCGGCGCCATCTTGAAGTCATGATAACATAATCACAAAATAATACAACACAACACATAAGACACAGACACTCATGACCAATGTTAAAATACTGCCTCACACTCACACCTAGGGACAATTTTGAGTGTTCAATCAGCCTGCCACGCATGTTTTTGGAATGTGGGAGGAAACCGGAGTACCCGGAGAAAACCCACGCAAGCCCAGGTAGAACATGCAAACTCCACACAGGGAGGACGGTGCTGGAATTGAACCCGGTACCTTTGCACTATGAGGTCGACGTGCTAACCACTGGACACCGGGGCAGCCCTGGTATTGTAATATGAAGATAAATACAACTGAACAGTACTTAGGCTGTGATTCTCTTCCATAGCATTATTTATTTTTGGGGGGTGAATTTGAATCAATTCATTTTACATTACTGCATGTGAGGAAACATTGTTGTCATCAGAATGACTTATTCTCCATTTAAGGGGAGGAGGATCTCATTGTACAAGAGGGCTCAGATCCTGGTGGCCGATTTCTGGGCCATGGCGACGGCGGCCAGGGGCGCGACAGACATCGTCAACATGGACTGGCTTACTATGTTTGCTGACTACCGGGTCCCACAGGCCCTCGTCTTCCTGGGTGTGTTGCGATACTCGGACGCTCTGATGCGGATGCTCAAGAGCGGTATGTGTTACGACATTCGGTTCACCTGCATTTTCCACCGGCATCCAGTACCCACATTTCTGCCTTCAGGCGAGCTGTTGCATTCAGGTGACCGCAGGGAGGTGGAGATTCGGGCGTGCTCCATTTGGGCAGTGGAGCGCATTAAGGCCCGCCTGGATGAGCTGGCGCGGGAACAGGGCGCCGAGAGCAGTGGCATCAACTCGGTGCTTATCGACTTCTACTTGTGGCCGTACGCCAAGCAGCACCACCGAGAGATGGCTCACATTCCCATACACCACACGCGTTGTGTTTACTATTGATATGATAGACGCCGCCAGTGTCGGGGAACCATGCCAACTGCCTTTATGTACATTATTTTAATTGTCCTTTTTCCTGTCAGTCACACAGGGGCTACAGTACATAAAGTTTACACACCCCTGTTCAAATGCTAGGCTTTTATGATATAAAAGAATGACATTAAGATAAATCATTTCAAAACTTTTCCCCACTATTAATCTGAGCTATAACTAGGTAGAAATCAATTGAACTTTTTTTTCAAATTGGTTTCATTGGCCCACAAGGGATGATGTGTTCTGGTTTGATGAAACCAATGTTGTACTTTTGGGCTATAATGACAAGCCGTATGTTTGATGTTAATGCAACACTGTTAATCACCAACAGGAACGCCCTACTTGTGCCTACGGTGAAGCATGGTGGTGGCAGCATCATGCTTTGGGCTGTTTTTCTTCCAACTGGAACTGAGGCATTTGGCAGGGTTGAGGAAATTCTGAACAATTTTAAATAGCAGTCAATGTTTGCACAAGACCTTCAGGCATTCCACGAGAAAGCAAAAAAAAAAAAATTGAATGGGATTACTAGCTAACAATTGAACTAGATTAATTGTTAATAATTTCACATTTCTCAATCATGGGTCTTTCAAAGTGCAAAATTAACCCATCTTTTCTTTGCACGTCATTGCAGTTGAATGGACCAACAGATTTTATGGTTCAATTCGCAAAGAAATCATTCTCTTCAACGTGCTGCTCACATTTTGGAATCATGAAGATGGCAGCTAACAATTGATCAATAGTACCTTGCCAAACTTATAACAGAATATTCTATATTTCATGTTTTCTGTGTGTTAAGCAACATTTTCTACATACTGTATAGACTTTTTATTGAACGTTTTCATAACTATTTTTGGCTCCCTAGCTTTAATTAACATCCATTCATTATTGGAACCGCTTATCCGTTATTTCGGGGTCGTCAATCCTATTTCTCGCGAGCGTTTCCTGAATGTTTACCACCTGTCCTGTCAACACACCTGATCCAAATGACCAGGATCGTGCTTGTTACCTGACCTTGAATCAGGTGCGTTGCAGCAGGGAGGGGTGGAAAAAAAATCCAGGAAACCAGCCCTCGAGGAACACGTGTGAAGACCCCTGTTTTAATTTAGAACATTTCTTTTTATCCGAATAAAATAAGCTAACATTTGTTAATGTCACAAGAACTTTGCAAAATACGAAATTGATAGCTAAATAAAGAACGAAATAAGCATTTAGTAGGCTCGTGGAAAGAGCCAACGAGCTCCGATTAAGGCGTTGGTCTGATGTTGATGGATGGTTGCAGGTTTTGGGAGTTCCATAAGAGGGCGCTGTTGAATTTCGAATGTATTCAAGTCCTTACATCGAGGTGACTCTTGAAGCACATTCTTCGACTCCAGCGGCGGTTTCCATGGCTACCGAGCAGCATCAACGGACGCTCAAATGTCAACAATAACGATTTAGCGATCAACTCTCCTGAGGAGATTAGAAACAAGTAAAATTAACAAATTCGAGGTGCTGTCGAGACGGACTAGAGGATGAAAGGGAAGCAAACCGCAAAATCAAATTGAGTTGAGAACGTGTTCATGACGCTTGTCGCTTTTGTCAGTGGAAGTTTTTGCCTTTGTGGTCCTGTCAGGCTCACTTTAATGTCTTAAAAGGCGCGCACAACTAGAGAGGGACTTTATGTCGGGGGTTTGCTTTCGTACAGCAAATATGTTTAATCATTAAAATTTTTGATCAGTACTCGGTCGGTTCCATCTACACTACCATCATGACCGAGGTTCGCATTCGCGTGGCCGTTCGGTTGCGTCCCCTCCTACCCAGGGAGCTCCTGCACGCACACCAGGAATGTCTGCGTGTGGTCCCCGGCGCCCCGCAGGTTATCCTCGGCTCCGACCAGCTCTTTTCCTTCGACCACGCCTTCGGGCCGACCGCTAGCCAAGGTGAAGTGTACGAGTCATGCGTGCGGCCACTGACCAGATGCCTGCTGGAAGGAATCAACGCCACGGTCTTCTGCTACGGCCAGACCGGATCCGGGAAGACCTACACGCTGGGTGGGAACAAAATGGGTGAGAAACAGAGCCATCCTAATCCTACACGCGGTGTTGATCGCAGAATCAAAAGTTAAAAGTATATCTGCATGGGCGGAGCTTTTCTTGACACCTTGTAAAGAAGCACGAAGCACCTCAACCTCTGCAAACAAGTGAGATTGAAATGATGCAAAATAAACTGAAGTCATTCAAATACGAAAATCCCAGGAAGAATGTGCGAAAGTGAAATAAATTGCCTACCCTCGGTTCATCGCAAAGTATGACCATTTTACAGATGCAGAGGGAGGTATTATCTCATGCTTGGCCAAGGATGTGTTCTCGCTGCTCGACAAGAGGAAACAGTGCGACGGCGGGGAAGTCACCATGCGGGTGTCGTATTTGGAGCTGTACAAGGAGGAGCTGCGTGACCTGCTGGAGCTCAGCACCTCCCACAAAGACCTTCAGATCAGAGATGACTTTAGGGGAAACACAGGTGAGATGAAAAACGTTGACTTTTCTGAAAGGACTTTTTTTGTGAAAATGGTCTCATACGTAGGTGTGTTACTTTTTTCCTCATGATTTTTCAAAAGAACATGACCGTCTCAAATTTTTTGTTCTACATGAAATCAGTCTGTTTCTCTTGAAAATAATTGACTTTTTTTCGAATTTAAAACGTAGTGTGACACAGTTTTAGTTGGAAATTTTCTTTTTAAAAATTCTGGCAGATTAAATTTTTTTTCAAAAACAACAAAACTGAAGCATGCAATGCGTTTCTTAAAAAAATTGAGAATCTGACTTTTTCCCTGAAAAAATGCTTTTTGTCTTTAAAAATATTCAGGATTTTTTTTCTCTAAAATATTTTTTTAGCTTACTGTCCTTATATGTCCCCCCCCAAAAAAAACACAAAAGTACCTGTTATTTTTGTATGACTTTTTTAAACATTTTTTTCTTCACTTATTCTTGAGTTTTAAATATTCTGCTTTACTCTAAAAATATGTCTGCAAGTATTGATGATTATTTTTTTTAATGCATGACTTTTTGGAAGAAATCAACCAAATTGGATTTTGCAGATTTAACATCTGACCCCATCTGTTGCTAACCAAAACAGCAATGCCTAAACAGTCTCGGATTAATTAATGAACGTGTGTGTGTGTGTGTGTGTGTGTGTGTGTGTGTGTGTGTGTGTGTGTGTGTGTGTGTGTGCGCCCACATAGTGGTTGTGGGTGCCAAGGAAGTCGCGGTTTCCTCCTGTGAGGAGCTCCTCAACGTCTTGGAAGTGGGCAATGCTTTGCGCCAAACGGGTGCTACCCGTATGAATGAGCACTCGAGCCGCTCGCACACCGTCCTCACGCTGTGGCTCCGCCAGCGACCACCCGCAGGGCCCGACAGGCCTGAGCGCCTCTCCAAGTTTTGCGTAGTGGACTTGGCCGGCTCGGAGCGCGTGGGTAAGACGGGTAACACAGGTGTCCGCTTTGAAGAGTCGGTGCACATCAACACGGGCCTCTTGGCGTTGGGAAACGTCATACGGGCCCTCTCCCATCCCGGGCGGCAACGTAGTGCCTACGTTCCGTATCGTCACGCTAAGATTACCCGGCTCCTACGGGACTCACTCGGGGGTAATGCCTGCACCCTCATGGTGGCGTGCGTAAGCCCGTCTCACCACAGCTTTGCCGAGAGCTTAAGCGTGCTCAAGTTTGCTTCCAAGTCTCGCCGCATTCGCCACCATGCCGAGTTGGCAACTCCCGAACAAGACTCTGAGGAGACGTTTACTACCATGCTGACTTCTGAAGACCCGCCGAACAATGACATCCAGCCTCTCAGGCAGTCAGGGAGTCATTCTACGCCAGAACAGGAAGTGCGCCAAAGAGAAACATCTCCCTACTCATCACTGGTGCAGCAGGCTGCGGATCTCCTCGCCGAGGTCTGCGGACCAGACTCTCAAAACGACGCTTTGAAACGCAGAGTGCACGAGTGGCAGAAGAGGGCGAAGACTGCCCGCCAATCACGTGGCAGTGATGATCTCAGCTGGTCCGATGAGAGAGACTCGCCCCATTTGGTCACCATCGTACAGCTCAGACAGGACCTCAAGAAGTGTCAGGTGAGGAAAATGCCACTGCGGATAATTTTGCACTCCAGTCCTCTCGGTGGTGGTAATCCTTTTAACAAAAAGGAGGGCATCTGCAACACATTTCTTTTTCACTATAGCTTCATTTGTTGAATCTGGTGAGTGCCTCCCAATGCAGTATCCCTGACACCAACCAATCAAGCAGCCAATGAAAGCATCCATATAACCAACCAACATTAACATCCAGCCGTAGCAGTCTTTCAGCCCACTAACCATACCATCCAATCAACCAATCATAACATTCAACCAACTAACTAACCCTAATTAATCATAGCATGAAACAAAATACTCAAAGCACCCAACCACAGAAAATATTCCACCCGTGGCAACCATCCAATCAACTAATCATAACATCCAACAACTAGCCAACCATTTTACTGTAATATCCAACCAAGTAACCAGAGCACCCAAGAAACCAACCCTTGAAATCATCCAACCAGTCATCCAATTTAACCAATAAAAGATGTATTGCATAACAATCATCATATATCCATGCAAAACCATTGAGTAAGGCAATCCTTTTCTTTCAGGAGTCTCTGGAGATGGAAGCCCAACGCGTGGCACAAAAAGATGCCAAACTGAAACAAGTGCAAAACGAAGTGCAGGAACTCTTACGGAAACAAAACGTCCTCTTGCAGACCTTTTGTGAAGAGAAGACACAGGTGAGACCGCCCGTTAGATGCGTATTATCCTCGACTAGCACTGACACTTGACGTCGAATACACTGAATGTTGTCAAGGCGGAGCGACTGGTGGACCAGCAGATTCTCATTGACCGCCTTCGCTGCGACCTGATGGCCATGCGGGGTAAAACCACAGCGACCTCCTGCAGGGCTCACCACAGACCACACAGTGCCAGCTTGATACGACCCAGCTGCGGACACACGCTGATCAATAAGGTGGGCGGCACGTTAGCGATAGCATTAGCCCATGTCACCGGATGTTTACAAACATCGTTTGACCAATTTTCAAGGAGCAAAGAATGGAATTCGAAATAATACAACTGTCTAAAGCAGATAAACAATTGAATGATAATTGGATGTTTATGTGTTAGATTGGTCCCGGTTTCCCTGCCGAATCACTGGAGAGGTTGATGGCAACTTTTAAGATGAGCAACCACCGTCTGCAGAGCGAGGAGGAGGTGAAGGATTTCTGTCCTGTGCTGAGGCAAACGGCAGCGGGACAAGGTCAAGAGAGGGAAAATTTTGTTAGTGGACTCGGGTAAGAAAATACTTCAACATTTGTCAAATTGTTTCTCATTTTGAAGGATGCTCCATTGGATCTCAATAGTGTTGTTGTCAGGGGATAGTGATAGCCACACCCTAGGTTTTTCTGTACCCTTAATTTCCATAAAAGCTAAAGCTTCAATAATATCTCTATTGTTATGACCTTTGAAGACAAAACAACAGAGGCAAAAACTCCCCCTCCTGCTTTTTTTCAGGTTTTTTTTTAACTTAAATCCTATTTAAATTATAACATGGAGGACCGTGTCATACTACAGTGATCCAATTGTTTTCTCAGCGGATGTAGGTGACAAATGTAGCTGAACATGTGGGCGACAAAGATTAGCTTTTACTGTTGATTCTCATCTGTCTACAGAAACAGGCTCCAGGATTTTTTTTTCTTTTGCTACATTAAAGCGACTGATAAAGTAATTGAAAAATATGTTTTAGAATATCAAATAAAATGTTGGAGGGGGGTTGGTCACTTCACTGGAGGCTAGATAGAACCATTCTAATCCTGTGGGTGTCAAAAACTGACTTCAGATGCTTCCATTTCCTTCAAATTCTGCACTTTTGCAAGGCAAGCCCTTTTTTTTTCCCCATCACGGTCTTAATTTTGTGATGTTGAATTCTTCATTCTTCAGCTGGACCAGCAGGCAAAAGAAATCATCCCTGAAAGAAAAGTGCTTCGCTCTGGACCAACCGCCAAAGCAAATGACTCAGCAGGCCACTTGTACCGCATCACTTTTGAAAATCTAAAATCCACAATATTGTCTTTCCTCATAACGATGACATTCTTTTTATGTGTATTTACTCTCTCAGGGACCAAGCGACAAGCCGTTGAGCCCTGTGTCACGAAAGACACGAGGCAGAGAGCCAGCCTGATCCAGAGGAGGATCCAGATGTTGTCAGCAAGCATGTGCTTAAAAGAGGAGCTCGTTGAAGAGATGGAAAAAACGGGTGCGTACATCTCGAGTTTTATGAAATCAATCATCTTGTAAGGGCGGCCCGGTGGTCCGGTGGTTAGTGTGTCAACCTCACAGTGCGGAGGTACCAGGTTCAATTCCAGCTCCGACCTCCCTGTGGGGAGTTTGCATGTTCTCCCCGAGCCTGCGTGGATTTTCTCCGGGTACTCCGGTTTCCTCCTGCATTCTAAAAACATGCATGGCAGGCTGATTGAACACTCGAAATTGAACCCCATTTGTGAGTGTGAGCGCGGATGGTTGTTCGTCTCTGTGTGCCTTGCGATTGGCTGGCAACCGGTTCAGGGTGTCCGCCGCCTACTGCCCGAAGACGGCTGGGATAGGCTCCAGCACCCCCCACGGCCATTGTGAGGATTAAGCGGATCAGAAAATGGATGGATGGAGGGTAATGAGTTTGAAATTATATGAATGTGTTTTGGGATCATAGATCATTTTATGATTTTAACGATGAATCTAGGCAGTTTGAAACATTTTCATGGAGTCTTTGCTATTCATGACAGGTTTGTGTCCTGATCCCCCGGGGATTCACTGTACTCAAAAAAAAAGATCAATATTCAGAATAATTATGTTAAATTAATTTATAATATATTCAATTAAAACGTAACAGTGCGTGTTTATGAACATATGCATCTAAATATGACAGATTATAGCCATTGTCTAGTTTCCGTCTGAACTCCATTGGCGAGTGGGTGTAACATTTTAATTATAAATCCATTAAAAACAGGATTGAAAAAAAAAACCCCGCAGTGGATCTGCAGCACTTTTGTATGGCTACAGGCCGATACACATATTAACCCTTTCGCGGACAACGGTTACTACAGTGGACAGCTTATCATGTTAACGGGTTACAGAGTGCATGAAAGGGTGAATTGTACATTGTACCTTTTAGTGGAAAAAAGCATTTAATTAATCTGCCTGTCACGATGCGTCACTGGAAAGAAGAATAAAAATACAATACATTGTAGAACTGGGCAAATCAATAATCGTTTCCAGAGCAATGAAATGAAATTGGATAATTTCCTGCGGCATACCTGATGATCTTTCACAACACACGAATGTACTGCAGTACAGTGGTTTGGAATCAGCGACATATTCTGCCCTTACAGAGAAAGAAACGCTGGCGGCAGTCCGACGCGATGCGGGCGACCAGCGAGAAGACGCCGATCTGGCCTGGCTGTCGGAGCAGAGCCGACAGGACCGCTTGGCACTGCGTCACAGCCTGCAGCACATGGATCTGCAGAAGGCGCAACTGCAGAGGAGCCTCAGGCGGCCCAGCCCGGAGAGCAGCGACAACTCTGCAGAGTCAGAGCCGGACAAGGTGAGTGTGAATTCTCCCCCAAGCGCCCGGAACTCAAAAACACACCACCAAATGAGACATCATCAGGTTTGTTTACGAAAATACAATTAGGAGAAAACACCTGTGACAGAAAATTAATGGAAAATTAAAAACAAAAGATTTGCAAAAAATATATTTAATGAGTCCAAATGTGTTCCCTTAGATTAATATTAGGGTGCAAGAAAAAACGTTTTGAATTAAAACAACAAAAAAAATCAGGTTTGAGTTAAAAGATGTGAGTGTATGGAATCAAACAAAATTGAATCGTTCCACATACACGTATCGAATCGTCTTTTTTTGGGAGAGACCTATCTTTGAAGGAAATGGGGGGGTGGGGGTAGAACTTCCCAATACATATAGTATCTTGACTTATTCATAGGCATACATTTAAATAAATAAGTGATACCAATGATGTTAATGGAAGATGGTGCGTTTTTGTTTTGCAGGTGGACAGTGTTCTCGAAAGCAGAAACAAACTGTGGCCAAAGGAAATGGTAAGATGATGACATTGCAGCCATTTTGCATACACGCCGTCTTCCTTTGAGTTAACGCTCCCCTGTGGTGGCTGCAGGCGCTTGAGCCTTGTTGGCTGGATGAGGCCGAGGAGCTGGAGCTGCAGAGGAGAGCAACTCAGCAGGAACTGAATGAGGAACTCAGCAAGAGCGAGGAGGTGCGCCGGCGCAGGGATGCGTGCCTGCGGCGCAAGAACGCACTGGAGACGGAGAGACTGCGCGCCAGTCAGGTAAGATGACTCGAGTTCTTTTTGCGTGAGTGATGCACTAAAAGCAAAATAAGTAAACAAAACAACCCCCCCCCCCAAAAAAAAAAAAAAACACTCTCATTTACAGGGTTAACTACTGAGCCCATCTGAAGTATGTTGCTTGCCAAAACAGAAGAAATAAGGCAGATAAACAGTCTCTCAGATGAATTCAACACTTTAAACTAGTTAATTGCATCAAAATAAAAGTACCGTATTTTCCGCACTATAAGGCGCTTCAGAGTACAAGGCGCACCTTCAATGAATGGCCTATTTTAAAACTGTTTTCCTATCCAGAGCGCGTAGAATAGAAGCCATAATAGTGGCTGCGGTTGCATTATGAATCCACCAGATGGAGTTACACAAGAGGGATACAAATACAGCTTTATTTATATCGCACTTTCTCAACCGCTGCAGCTGTAACAGAGCGCTTGACAGGACATTGAAAATACGATGACGAGAAATCAGAATATCGATCCATATATAAGGCGCATCGGATTATAAAGCGCACTGTCAGCTTTTGAGAAAATGGAATGTTTTTCGGTGCACCTTATAGTGCGGAAAATACGGTAATCTTGGGTAATGCGGAGGCATCCCAATAATCTTTGACATGTGTTCTCTCCACACCGTGTGTTAAAATGCTCATCTACCAGTCTTGCCAGTTCCTCTGCATTTCTCAAATACAGTCATACCTCGGCTTTCGACCATAATCCGTTCCAGAAGGCTGTTCGAAAAGCGTTTTTTTGCGAAATCCGAAACAATTTTATTAGCCCATGATTAGGGGCTAATACACTATGCAGAAATAACATGAAAACAGTGAGATTTGCGTAAATCACAACAAACACGTCTGCTCACAATGAATGCAACACGAGGAAGAGTCACTTCCTTGTATAAGGAAGCCGAGAGGAGTAAAGGGGCGTATTTGGGTTTGCTCAGTTTGATCAAAAACCGGTTTTCGGTCATAATCCGAGGCGTAAAAATCTCAAATTTTCTGGTCGAAAACCGATTTGGTCGAGAACAGAGACGTTCGAAAACCGAGGTTTGACTGTTGTAGCCCTGTTTTATATTGTTGTCATACATCGCAATGTCCTGGCTATATTGGCAGGTTTTGAGTCAGGACCTGCTGCGCGTGTCAATGCGCTTGGAAACACTGGAGGAGAAGATTGCAAATTGGTCCAAGCCGGCATCCACAACAGAGCTGGAGATTGAGAAAGAGATGCTGAGAAAGAAGAGAGACTGCCTAGATTCACAGCTCAAGGACAGCGCGCTCCTCACTTTGGAGGTCAGCATGGAGGTCGTGGCGGGGGTGTCCAAACTTTTGCCTTTGTGGGCTGTCGAGGGAAAATTGATTTTCTCTGGCCATTTCCGTGCTCGTATTAGCCTTTTGCCTCCATCTATGTGCTATTTACATTTAGCATCTGCTTGCTATGACGACAGTAAGCAGTCAGACCTGGCCCTATGTGCCATTTCTTGGTCTGTGGTAATCATCACACTTCACTCATTTATCCTTCCTAACTGTCGGACAAGTGTAAAAGGAAGTTTATGACTTTCAAACAAAACTAACATCAGGTACACCTACTTCCACATTGGAGAGGGCACAGCTTGTTGGCCATTTCCGGCGCTCGTCACGATCCTTTCCAATACATGCCAGCTATTCTATGGTTACCATCACCCATTCCCGCCTTTGCGCATTGTTACCTCGCTGTGTCGACATCACCAAAAAAAAAAAAAATGTCAAGGACACTTGTTCATCAGCTTTTATTGTTGTCAAGGAGGAACAATTGGAAGAAGCTGTGCAAGTCCTGGAAGCAGAGCTGGACTTCAAGCAGCGATCCATCCAGGACAAGCAGGAGAAAGTGCGGGGCTCGGCGCTAGGCAACAGTGCACGCGTCTCCGACGTCACCGAGAAGCTGAGGGCACTCTCGCAATCCCAAGCTTCCGAGCTGCTTGTCAAATATTTCAGCAAAGTAAGAGCGCACAATTCACGATATCGTTTTACAGCAGAACCAACGCAAAACATGCCTCTTGCTTTTCAAAGATCACAAATGCAATGTTTTGATTGACGTCATCAGAGGTGACGTTTAACGTTTGTTATTGTTTTTGTAGAATTGTACTGACATGTAAACTCCTTTCATTGTTATCCTTAAAAGATCAGTATTGAAAAAAAAGAAGGAATGAAAACATTGATTGACAATATGTTTGATACGTTTGCCTTTCTATCTTTTTGAAGTTTTTCAAATTTTCAAACGATATTTCAAAGGTTGTTCTATTTGTAGTTTACAAAAGCAACCAATTAAAATATCGACATTTTATTATTTCAAACTTTTATTTAAAGTTTATTTTAATTATATTCTATTATTTAAATATTTTTCTTTCATTTCTTGCAAGTATTTCTTTACATTTATTTTTACACTTTTACACTGGTCAACATTTTTATTCCATTTTGTAATGTTTTAAAAAATTGAAAATGTGACAAAACCTTTTTCTTCATTTGAACTTACAGTATATATGATGTTAACAGATTAATACATGAAAATATACTTTTGTATTGATTTATTTCAGATATTTATTTAATTTTTTTATTACATTATTATTATTATTTTATTTTATTTACATTTTTAGATGTGTAGATCTGTCCGAATGCATTTGGTCATTTTATTTATTTACCTTTGGTACCCCTTTTTTTTTTTTTTAAAGCGACATTAGAGGGTCAAAATAATGTTTATTATTGTGATTTCCCCCCACATCGGACATGTTTCTGTTGACAGTGTCAATCAAAAGTGAACCTGATCATGAGTTATTGTTTTCTTACTTGGTTCACCAGGTGGTGGACCTTCGGCAAACGCAAGCTTGTTTGCGTTTGTACTGTGAGGAACTGGAGATTTACTGTGCGGAGCAGGAGGAAGCCCGCGCGGAGCTGGAGGCCGCTGTGCACAACTTGGCCTGGGACGCCGACTGCAGGCTCACCCAGCAGCAGCAGGAACACCACAGGAACATCCGCTTCCTCCTCCGCAAACTCAAAGGTCAAAACGCGCACACACACACACACACATACACACACACACACACACACACACACACACACAATTGCTTCAAAGACCCTGTGGCCATCATAAAACCTAATTGAGCCTCTGGGAGTGAGAGTGATTGATTCAATATTTATTGAAGGATGTTAAATTACTCATGACTACTTTCTGTGTTTTGATATTTTTACAGTGGGTGAAGCCCGGTTTCATGGGCAGGCGGGGGCACCGCACACCCCACAAAATATTTTTATAATTTGAAAAAATATATATCTGTGAATATGCAAATCTGTGAGTGCCGAACCGTGACTATGCCGGTGGTCCACTGGATGATATCTTTGAAATGATTCCACTGGGCAACGTTGCTTAAGGGTTGTCACACAAACGATCGGGGGCAGGGTGATGGTCTCCAAGTGCTCACGTCCACCATGTCGAGACTCTACGGTGCGACTAGCGCTGTACATTTAAAGGGAAAGAAAAAGGAGCCGCTTTGATTGGTTTGGCCATGATTCAAGTAAGCTGTGACCACACCCATAGCGGTGCAGCCCTCCCTTTCATAGATCTGTCGGGCTGCACTCGTCTTTGAAATGACCAATATTGGATCAAACCCTCCCTTCTACTCCTACTAAGATCCAATACTTTGTTTTTGTGTGGATTTCCTCCCACTTTTAGAGGGCACTTCATCAGGAGAAGCAGAGGAGGCGTTCAAGAAGCGTCTGCAGAACCTGGAGAAGGAATTGTTCTTTTACAAGCACTGCAGCCGCAAGCTGAGGAAGCAGCTCAAAGAGTCCCAGTGCGCCGACCAGAGTCCCCACGCCGAGGAAACTCCCCCGGAACTGAACGGGTCGAAAGACCCCAAAAGATTCTCTCGCCAGCAAAGCCCATCTTCATCCTCGTCGTCAGCCGAGAACGCCAAGCCGCCCGCCGAGCACCAGATAGGTGCGATAGCCCGTTGTCATGGTTACAGCGAGCGCCGTCCGCCTCCCCCCCACGGGTCGCGGGCCACCGTCGGGCTGCGTCGCAGGAAGCTGAGAGACCCGGCGGGGCCGGCGCGGGACTCCGTGGTGGATACCGGCATCGAGATGTTGTCGGACGACTCGCTGGAAGCATCCACCGGCAGCGAAACGCCTGACTTTGTGGCAATGTGAGGTCAGTGGGCTTTTACTCATGTTTTTACAATTGTATTTTGTCAGCTAAAAAACTCAACATCGTATTAAGGTCAGGTCAGGATTATTGTGAAATTGTTGTCATTTTATGAGAAGAAAATCTTTGTTGTAATACATTAATTTAACTGACTTCATTTTCATAAGTGACTTTGTTTTTTAGATTTTGTCGTAATCAGAGAAAACTATAATATGCAACAATAATTCATAATAATCGTTTTGATTACATTTTTGTTTTACTCTAATAGTCATGGTTTTTATTTGAATAATTTAAATTTGAATATATCAACAAAGTGTTCATTTTTCATAATTTTTGTGAAAAAAAATATCATTGTAGTTGTAATATAATACCGATAAAGACAATCAATAAACTTTTTTATTGCACTTCACATATAAAATGTGATGACAAAAAGATTTATAATGTAGGCCAACTTTTTTGCAACTTTTATAAGTACTAAAAACAAACTCCCATTATTTATGGTTCATTTTGTATATTAATATTTCAAATGCAGTGCAATTCCATATATGACATTAAACTAACAAAATATAATTGTTTTAGGAATGCTCACGTAACTACTTTGTACTTGAAATCGACAAGCTCGCTTATCCGGCATGGGTGTGAACTTTCTTCCAAAAAAATGCCCGATTTGAACATTCATATCATGACACAGGAAACTTCCCTTGTATTGATTGTTGAGTTTACTAGTCGCATAAGTATTTGCAATTATTGTAACGTTTACTCTTAGGAGTATGAACTTTGTACAATGAGTTTGATTGCTGTGTAATTCGTTTGTGTTTCAACATTTACATGGAAAGAAATGTATTGATCGCATCATTGATCTCTATCGGTTTATTTATTGGATACCTGTCCTACGGGGCCGCAAAATATTCTATCACACTATTCCTTTTGATGTGATTACTGTCCAGTCAAAGCATTTTCAAACAATTGGGTTAAATAGCGGCCTCTGTTTTGATCATAGATGCCATGCCTCAATAATCTTAAGAAATAAATACTGCACCTGAATGGAGGCCTCTCTTTTTTTTTTTAATCCGACACACCCTGGAAAAAATTGTAGAACGCAAGTAAAGCCCTCACTCCTAATAGATGCATGATACTTTCTATAGCTAAGTAAATAAACAGCCCTGGCCACTACATTAATTATTTTAACCTTACCCCACTGCAGCTGAGTAAATAAAGACTCCAGCCACTATTTCATCGTTGGGGGCGGGTTGTAAGATACTATAATTGTGTAATAGTAAATAAAAATAGATTTTAAAACACATTCAAACTAAGAATTAATTTTAAATGATTCAAAATCACAAAACATTTTTTCACTGAAAAAGTATTTTATTGACTTCTCAGTGGAGTGGACAAACTAGAAACATTTCTCAACTCCCAAGTCAGTCAGACATTTTGGCATTTTGAACTAACAGGCACTCCTGTTGCTCTGCACTCGTGCCTGTAGGGGGAGGCATTGACGACCATTTTGTGTGTGTGTCTGTGTGTGTGTGTGTGTGTGTGTGTGTACACGTGTGTTGAGAGAGGCATGCATTACCACATGCTGACAGTCCAACATTAAAAAAAAAAAAAAAAAAAAAAAAAGAACAAAACAAGAACGTGTTTATTTGTTGTTGGGCCTTCAAGTAACACTGTCAGAGATCCGCCTCAGAACTTTTCTTCCCTCTCTTGTTTCCCTGGCAACCACAAAAGCACAAATGATTATGAGTCACATATTTAACATGTCACACATTTAAATAAAACAAAAAAATGCCCCCTCATGCTATATTATAATGACACAGGAAATACATTTTTACTCTTCCAACCCCCATGAATAACAGGGTACCCTAAAAACCATTTTGGGGCTTATTATTATTAGAATTATTTTGTGAAGAAACTCACCTCCAAGGCACAACGTGGATTCACCGTCACGTGAGTGCACAAAATGTTGTGTGTCATTTTTAATCGAAAGTTTTTTGGAAACTTATGACATGAGTATTAAAAGGCGCCACTTCCTGAAATTCCACATCTTCAATAAAGGGGTGAGTAGTTTTGTTTTCTAATACAGTGATTCAGTTCTTTTTATACTCCAAAAGATGCAGTAGATTCACCGGTTGTCATGGCAACATTTTTGACCATGTCGTTTCTGTGAATGTTTGAATAGCAGAAGAGGAACTACAGCGTAAAGACTTCTGGTACCTGATGTTTGGGCTGTTCGGACTGCAGACATTTGACTTTAGATCGTTCTTGCTCCAGGGCAGCATGTAGTAAGGTCACCTACAAAAAAATTGTGAAAATATGAGGCGGCAAGCAAGGATGAACTGAACCTCTTTTTCATGGTGAATTGTTCAAATCCCGCATTAGCCCCTCCGACTAGGACAGTTTAACTTTCCCAAGTTTAACTGAGCAAATGCAAATATTTCATAGAACACTACGAAACAGAAAAAATATCACAAAAACTGGCTAGATGGGTTAATGGTGTACAAGTTAGCATTTGCAAAAGTGAACACTGGCAGATGTGGATACAAACAAAGTGTTGCACACTGAGGTTTATTGGTTTCCCAGTTATTGTGAGAAATTATGAACATGATTAGTGTCTTCAAATAAATTAATAGCACTGCTTATTTATAATCTGTAATAATCAGAGGTGGGCTGACCAACAGACTGGCAGACCGGTGAAATTTATTTGCGCGTATTTTTGTGCCACTTACAAAGCCTGCACTCTTAAATTATAATTTAATGTTTTGATCAGGTCATGTTCAATAACACACATGATTAATATAACTGAATTGGGTAAAATTCTCAATGTAAATATTCATATTTTCAACAAGTTAGAGCAAGAAATTTCTACTATTTGCCGCCTCGCTTTTTCTAAGAAAGTCTTCCCTTTGAAAGTAAGAGCAGTTCAATCTCCACTAGTATGAGGTGGCGACCTCAAGTTTCAACCCAAAATGGCTCTCTTTCAATCTTATACACCTGAGCCTTTTTTTTGTGACTTCTGTTATGACAGACCTGGTGTGTGGGGGGGCCTTAAAGACACAAGTCATTTACGAGTAATTATAAAAAGAAGTGCTAGCCGACCTGCGATGAGAGTTCTTCTTTGATATGCAGCAGCTCCTCCACTTGCAGTAAGATTTCTGCTTTGTCTTTCACTACACACACACACACACACACACACACACACACACACACACACACACAAAACATCGTCAAAACAACCCAACTTTGTTGCCTTAAAAATGCCCCCTGCTAGCTTAATGCTAACATATAATGGAAAATACCAATGATGTGCTAATGGTTAGCACTGATAATGTCAGTTTGAGAAGCCATTACGCAACAGAAATAACTGATGTCAAGGTCAGGGAAAAATGCTTCTCCGATTTGTTAAAAGTGAAGAAGAATTGCAGTTTTGGTCCAGATTTTGTGCCAAACTAAGAACAACAAACCTATTCGGCAAGAGGCAGATGATTTGCTTTAGCGGGCCACTGAAACCCGAGTTTCAAAGCTTCTCGTTTGCGGCAGTGCGGTCGTCGAGCGGTTTGCATGTTTGTCTCGCAGTCGATCGGTTCTGTGTTCTCCCAACTCCAACTGACTCCCACGTTACTCAAAAACATGCACGTTAGCTAGGTTCACTGAAGATTCCAAGTTGTGTGCGGGTGTTGTGTGCTGCGATTGGCCGGCACCCCGACTTTAGACCCAAACGAGTAGATCAGCACAATAAGACAACGTATGGACCGACTCACTCTCTCCTTGCTGAAGCATCTTGAGAAGCTGCCCGTTTCTGGCTTTCACCTCTTTGTATTTGACCTGCGAGACATGATGCGAGTTGTCAGCGTGTCTCGATTGTTTGTCCACACCGTACGAATTACGGGGGTCCCACCTCCCACTGTGCGATGGTCTTCTTCAGCTCACGGATCTCTTGGTCCTTCTTCTCCAGCTCATATTTCAGCTGCTCGGCACGAGGGTCCTTCAGCAAAAGGGAGGTGAAAAAGCGCGAGAGAAATAAAGGTATTGTATTGTACAAAAACATGGCTGAGTCATTTCTGGCACCATGAGTGAAGTGAGTTGCTTTTTTTTTTTTTTTGGGTGTGCGCACACTCACTGGCTCATGTTCCGTAGAGGCGTCGCCTTCGTGTCTGCCGTTATACTGCTTGCGCTTCTTCTCCCGCTGGATTATTCGGCTGACGTCGTCCTCGAGCTTGTTAAAGAAACGCTCCTCCTGGCCCAGTCCCAGAGCGGAGTTGGCTGCTTCCTGGTGTACGGTGTATGAAAAGGGGGTTTCTTTTATGAGTTCTTATTTTAGTTTCAAATTAAATGAACCAATGACATGAATTAACATTTAAAATCAGATTGAATATGTAAAACTGTTGAAATGGCCCTGCGCTAGCTGCTCACCTCTTTCTCCTGTCTCCGGTTCACATGCTCTACAAAGAGCAAGAGTACATCAATTACGCATATTTAAAGCATTCTCGGTGATCTAATCTTGGGAGTTTGTCCGACCTGCGCTGCCTTCAGCCTGGAAGTCCTGCAAAGAGACTGTCTTTTTGTCTTTGGCCTGCGCGTTCCTCTTCTTCTTCTCTTTGCTGCCGCCACCGCTGCCGCCATCTTTGCGAGACTTTGGTGAGGACGCGTGGTTGCTGCTGCTGCCTCCCTGCTGAAAAAAGATCACCAATGCAGACGTTGTGCTCTTGCAAACAATTTAAGACTCTTATCAGATATGCTGAGAGATATTCCACTTGTATTGTTGTACATGTAAAACCAAAGCGAAGGCTGATGCAGCTGGTGTGAGAGGAGGGTGACCCCGAACGGGACAAGCCGAAAGGAAAATGCTAACTGTCCATCTAACAGAGCAACATAGTTTTGAGGCTGCATGAGTAGCAATAAATATGTGACTATAAACATGTAATATACAACGTTAGCTTATTTTGTTGTTAATTTTCCAAATTTCCGATGGAAATATTGAGTAGTATAAATGTAGTGTGCGTGCTTGTTGGAAGTACCTGTTTGTTTTGTTCGTACTCCAGTTTGCTCAGAATCAAGGCCTTCTCCAAATCTGCCTCGTACATCTCGGATGTCATCTGCGGTGAGAAAGGTGACGTGTTTTGGACATGCGACACACACACACACACACACACACACACACACACACACACACACACAAATGAGCTTGACACGATCCTCTCTTACCTGCTCGTCCCTCTGCTTCCACTGCTGCCAGCCCTGCTGGGATGATGGAGTAGCACCGTGCGCCGAAGGGGCGACGCTGAGGAGCTCGCTGGCTATTCCCGAAAGTGTCATGCAGGGCGGCGGGCCGTGAGACTTCTGCGGGATCTTCTTGAAGGCCAGATTGCGAAGCTGAGATGGAGACATTGCACATGCTAGCTCAAGTCGATGGAGTCGCTCGGGTTAAAGGACATTAAGATGCCATGTTTATTGCCAAATCACAAGTCATGCACTTTTTTTCATATGCAGTAGAATGGATATATAGAACATAAAGGACCAGACTACTTGAATATTACGCATCTCCGTCAGTGGCTCATTCACATGAGACATCAGCCAGTCACAAAAGACGTGGCATAGAGTGTTATAGAATCATTGTTGATCCTTCACACACATAATTAAAACCCGAAACTCTCACCTCGTTGGCTTCACTTTGCTGCTGTTCCTTCTTCTTCTTCTTCTTCTTGTCTTTCTTCTTGTCGTTGCCCTGAGATGCTTTGCCCCCTCCGGATTTTTCCGGGCGCTGCTTCCCGGAGCCGCCTTTGTTGGGAATCTTCCCGGCCTCAGAATTGTCCGAGTCGGAGTCCGAGTCGATCTGAAGGAGGGCGAAGCGCGAGGCGGTGGTGGGGACCATGATGGTTGTTGACGATGCCATTGTGGAAGCCTAATACTGATGAGGGGAGAAGGAACGCTCCGGTGAGAATAATATTGAAGTCACTACTATTTTGATGTAGCATTAAGACTAAATAATGGTCGTTTAAAGCGTACAAAGCTGGCATTTGACTGACGGCTAGGTGCGCATAGCGTCATCGCTTTTACAAAAGCTAAAGCCGGCTTCTTTTTCTTCTTAGCGTTTCAACAATTACTCAAATAACGACACACAACAGTCTAGAAGGCTAAATAGCACTTACGCTGTTTTTTTCCAATGCGCTCGGGCACTTGTCGAAGAGTGGCAACGTTTGGAAAAGTTATCCAAGTCTTACTTTCACCTGTTAGAGGAGAAAGGATGAGCTCTTCCTTGCTAGCTGTTAGCTGGTTTTGGTACGGGAAGTTAGTAGTGCCGAAAAGGATGCTGTCGCTTTTTCGGGTGCCAAAAGACGTCCTCGTGAAAAAAAATCGCACATATTAATGATAATAACTCTCAGTAAATTAAAATGCGATGCTAATTAAACCGATTATGTTTTAAAACCATGACGGAGCAGCAGCCAAGTGTATCACAAGGTATGTTTTATGGATGCGTTTGTACAAGTTTAAACAACACACTCACATCTGTCATTAGCATTACTGTACATTGTCTTTGTGGGTGTTGTACTGGCTTTGTTTGCTTTCATCTTAACTCAGTTAGGTTCGTAAATAACATCACTTCAGGAATGTGTGCCATAACTAGATTTCAGTTCAATCCTCGTTGGATGTATGACATACTGAGTGAATTCTGGTGGATTTTAAATGCAAAATAGTCATTCTTATGGTGTGTTATATGTACCACAAGTGATGCCGGCGCTCCCTCTAGGGATATGCAAAGTAATTGCTCGCTAAGAACAGTTCATTTGTATTTAACGTAAGTCTAATATATTTGAAATGGTTGATTTATCATTTACAGGTAGTGCATTTTAATCAAATCATTGTTTAAGTACATACACACACACACACAAATATTTAATTTGCTTATAAATAAGCGCGGTGTCCGTGGTCGACCTGTGCATTATGCTATGGTAGTTTATCTTTGGGGAAATTAATGCATTCTGGTTTACTGCCTATTTACATCAATGCCAATTTTCCCCATTCAAGGTACTGCTTATTGTATGTTCAGTGCATGATTTATTTAACAGTAAGCAGTTATTCCAATGAATGAACAGGTGTCATACTGGATTACCCTTATTCCTCCTTGTAATGCTCTACAGCAAACACTAGAGAGCAGACACACTGCAGTTTGGCAGTTTAATTGTTAATGTAAATAAGTATACTGATTTAAAAGTCTCATTTCAGTTTCTCTTTTGGTACAAATTACATTTAATAGAGGACAAAAGTTTAATTTCAAACATCGCAATATGTGTATGTGTTCCTCTTGACAAGCAGTGTGTACCCTGCGTGATATTTAGTATTTTGCAGGAGTGTGTGTGTGTGTGTGTGTGTGTGTGTGTGTGTGTGTGTGTGTGTGTGTGTGTGTGTGTGTGTGTCCAGTGTGTGTG